CTTCCATTCGTCTTGCATTGCTTAGCAGATAGTGAGTTTTGTGGTTGCCATTAGGGTCTATAGGGTATTGGTCTCGATCTGCAGGCCGACGCGTGCTCCTGTAGTTGAATTGTATCCGGCGGCTTCCTTGGCTGCTTGGTCTGCCGCTTCGTTGCCAGGCACGCCGATATGTGCTGGGATCCAGCGAAACTGTAGCCCCCATACTTGGCTTCTAAGGTTATCCAGCTCCTAGATGGCCTCCGTCACGAGAAACTGTCCCGACGGCGTCTTAGGGTTCTGTAAAGCTTGAATAGCAGCTTGGTTGTCGGTAAAGATGGCGCTCCTTCAGGGGGCGGTGCTTGTTGTATGTACGTTATGTAATACTTGCAGTGCCAATACTATTCCCATTAGATCCGCCGTGTAGACTGTTAAGGCTTTAGATAAGCCCATATATTCTAGCCGCTTCGCGTTAATACCATCGATCCGGAGCTCAGGTGTGATGGCGGCGGCACCTATATGGCCGTTGATGCTGCTACTATCGGTGTAGATGTGTATTATTCCTGGCCCCACCGTATTATGCTCCTCGATGGCCTCGTCAGTAGATTCGGCGATACGGACGAACGGTGGCGTCCACCAAGGCGGCACTACGTGTGGCTGGCGTTTCTTGAGGCGGTTGAGGTTCACCCCATACTTCCTTTCTAAGATGCTAGAGAGTTGATCTAGAGGACTTTTCTCGTTGGCCCCTGTTGAAGCCATGTCCTGGGACGCATTTGTTTGTTTGTTTGTTTTATTTATAGACTGTCCCAGCCTCCTGGGACACATTTGGACGTGGCTTTCCTCGGAAGCAGTACCGTCGGGGGCAATCATAGCTGGGCTTACAGAATCATGAGTGGGTCTCCTTTACGGAATCGTTCGGTTAGCGGGATACACGCTCACTGTCACGGCTGCAATGGGAAATAGGGGACCCACTTGACTCGCTATTGAACGATTCAGTAGCAACGCAGTAATATGGTACTCTACCTAGAAAGTGTAAGGATTGACTTACCGGAGTACTATAGGGTAACTGGGAAGGGACCCAAAGATTGGGCGACACAGTTTAATGTTTCGAAATATTAAACTGAGCTAAGTGCTGCCGGGAATTTCTTAAAATTCGATTGAGAAGTCTGCTGCCTCTCTCGGGCCCTATTTTAGATGCGTCGCCGATCCAGAGCCTTGCCCCTCTTGCTGTCCTCTTTTCAGCGACTAGCGATAGCGGCAGCAAACCCTACGTAATCGCATGGTTGAAGTCGAGCGTTCCGGTAGAGCAACAAAACCATGCTCATCTTTCACACTTTATGTTATTGGATGCGGCCCTCGACCTTATGCAGGAACAAGGTGCTCCTACCGAACGATTCCGTAAAGGAGACCCACTTATGATTCTGTAAAGCTAGCCATGATTGCCCCCCGACGGTACTGCTTCCGAGGAAAGCCAGTCTTATCGTCCACTTCTTGCCATCGTCTAAATGTGGGATGCATGGACAGGAGGAGCGTTGATAGGCTACCCTTGACTTGAGCAACTGGGCAGAAGACTTTGAAATGACATATCGGTCAATTCTAGAAAGCGAAAGACGGGCATCGGACAGCTTACCTGCTTACAAACCCACTACTTACGAGGGCGTCGACCTATTACCGTACCTCTTCTGCAGGAAGAGACACCGACCTGATAGAGCTGATCAAGTCAAAAAGAAAATGTTAAGAAAGGATCTATTGGAATCATCTAATAACGAGTCAGCACCTAATCCACCGGATACTCCCAGCCCGGCGAAACGGCGATTACCTGGCGGAGGGCAGGGCATTTGATGCAGTTAGCGGATTCTGGCCTAACGGCCACGCGGAGGCGGCGAACAAGACCGGAAGTACTGCACGCAGAAATGCTTGAAGAACAACTGAAGGGCTGCTTCCGAGGATGGCATGACTACCTGCCTCGCCCCGCCGCCCAGAGTGACGCGCCTCGCCTCAAAAATCTGGTCGCGCGACGTAATCAGCATCTGCTTCCCGTCCCTGCCCACCTTCACGTCCTCCACCACGTAACTAAACCGCTTAGAAGCTTCAATGGGGAATGTAAAGCACAAGGTGTAATAGGCATCGACATGTCACTAAAGTATGGGGCTTGGCTCGTTGATCCTCCCGGTTAGATGCATGGAAGTAACTGTTCCGCCATCTAGTATCAAGTACACGTATGCCCCAAATCTCCCGACACATGTTTTGTGACATTTCCTTCCTTGCGAAAGTCGGTATGCCAGACCTCGGGCTCCCAATCTCCCCATTTCTTGCACTCGGAGACTCTGACAAGCTGGACTAAGAACCTAACCCTTTCCTTGGTGAGAGCACGCACTGCCCGCGTGAGAGAATCGCGCCCATTGTAATTTGTGTTCTGATCTGGGGGCCGGAGTGTTTTCAACTTGGTGCCCCAATGTGGATGCTCTCGCAACTTATCGAGGGCCGATCTATCTAACTGGCTGTTTTTATTCCGGCTATGTGTGGTGAGCTCTACCTAAGAGATATCAGGGCAATACATAAACAAGGCTTCAAGCGTGATGTCCTTGAGGCCCGAGGTGCCCTGAAGCTGCACGAGGCGAAGGTTGGGACACAACTTGACGAGGCGAGTCGCAGCCCCGTCCGTGAGTTCTTGAGCCGAGTTCTTGGCACCGTAACTGACCCTCCTCGGCGGAAGTCTACGTCGCAACTCAGCCACGCCACAGCCTCGTTGGGCACTCACCTTAGTACCGTTGCAAGATCCCCTCCCTCATCATCTCGGGCTGTTAAAGCGCAAGCTAGACCCCCTCGAAAACTACCCCCTTGACTATCAGTTCGTTATCGCGTATCATGGCCGAGGCGGTGGGACTCGCCGCAAGCGTCATCGCAATCATCGACCTGTCCGCCAAAGTTGCCGTCCTCTGCCTCGATTACTCCACCGCCGTCGGCAATGCTAGGGCCGACATCACACGCCTCCGAAGCCGGTTATACCACCTAGGCACAACCCTCCAAGGAGTTCGGCATCTTCTTGATGACCCGAGTAGTCAAGCGCTCGCGACGTCGCGAAGACTGGTCGACTCTGTTGATGCCTGCACATCAGAGCTGGCCCAGTCGCAGAGCAGGCTAGATCCGGGTAAGGCCCGTAAGGCGATGCGCCGTTTTGGAATTCGTGCCCTTAAGTGGCCGTTTGATAGCAAGGAGGTTAGCGATATCGTCTCTAACCTAGAACGCTATGAACGGACCATCACTCTAGATCTACAAATCGACTAAACGTAAGTCAGCAAACGGTCTGGATGTTTTGAGCACGATGGACCAGGCTGACGGCATCGTCCTTACAGTACGCTTCTCCTCGACATCAGGCAGAGGATCGAAGGCGTCTCGCTCCAACCCGAAGAGGATGTATCGATAGCTCGCAAGCCCTGCTTCCGCCTATCGTTCGAACGCGATCTTGACTTCGTCGACCGACGCTACCCTAATCACTTTGTGGGTGGGGCTGGAGACGACCACTAGGTTTGCGCATACTTCAGCAGGAGTCGCATGCATCTCAAGGCCCATATCATAAGAACCTACGGTACGGTCTCTTAAACGAAGTCCAGTCATCGCTGGTGCCATATATAAAACTGATCAGGCTTGTGATTGCTGATCTAGATGTCTAGAGACCCTGGGTAATCACGATGAGCACCTCTATAGTATCTTAACGATTATGCTGTCGAGTTCCTGCGCTTATGTTTTCGACCTTGAAATTTAAATTTAATTATTTCTATAGCTTTTCTTCGCAATATAATAACACGCGCCAAAGCTAACATCGAAACTAGGACCCTTAATAAAGGCATGGTCCTATTGTAACCGATCCTCTTGCCCCTCTCATATCTTCGCCTCTTCGCGTTTTCGCAGTTTTCAAGGCCGCTCACTTGAAGCAGCAGATGGTATCGTATGAAGTGCAAAATTTAAACTTTTGTGGGTGCAACGTAGCATGGCGCCTGACCCTTTTCCAACATTTCTTATATACGGCGACGACATGATGGAACCCTCCTGAAGATATGTGGAGGGTCGACTCGGAGAGGAGTGAATTCCTGTTGCCGTCATCCGCCCAGCCCTCGAACTCCATGGTATGTCTCAAGGAAACCGATCGTGCGGCATCCCAACCGACGCTTAGTTGGGGACGAATGTCGGGGGAGCGTATCTGCTCCTCAAGCGGACTTTCGTGCTGTATGGGACTAACCGAGTCGAGGAAGGGGACGAGGAGGGAGTCGTTCATGAGGTCGTAGATAATTCGGCGGGACTCATCAAGTTCGGAAGGGTGAAGGGGTTGAGGTCCACACGGGAGATTCAAGAGGTGATCTCGCTCTCGACTAGAGATATTGACTTGTCGCGGTCCACAAGGAGCGATATAGATCCGTATCAGCTTTTGCCATGACGAGTTTACACGATCAGTTCTATCACGCGACATAGGGCTCTCGGCAACTAGCTGGTTATAGAAGGAAGTATAGTTTTCGGCGTCTAGGGTGAACTCGAGAGTCTCCCTGCAGTGGTGTTGGGAGAGATGAGCCATGAAGGCGCGTAGAGTCCATGGCGGCGAAGAGACACCCAAGAGGATCTCGCTGAGGGTAGGACGTCGTGGGCCTGTCGTGGACATTTCAATAACGTTAGCAGTAAACATTTAATGGAGAGTCGCCGTTTGCGCAGTAGACCTGGGTTGCAAGTTCTTCGAAGAACAAAGATGTCGTAGGTAACTGGACTGTGAGGTTTGTCGAGTGCGTGAATGTGATGAAGGCGGAATGAATGTGACCGGAAGTATTTTCTACGGCGGGTAAGCCTGGAGATTACGCATTGCCACAGAGGCTCCGTAATATATATCCGGGGAGTACCCACGAGACAATTTGGAGATCTCAGTTGACTGCCATTCCCGGTCTATAATTACCCTTGCGGGTGTGATGCAAAACGCGGCTCCATTTTGTTACCATTATGATGTCGTGGTTTTCATCTACGTTAGGCTAGATCTGTGGATCGAAATTTCGCTGAACATCGAGTGATGGAATATCACCTAAGTGCCCGTCCTACTTATCATGTATGCGTGAGCGGCGGGATCCGCCGCACGCTCTGTTATGTGGTCGAGACCTGCGCCACCAGCAACACTAAATCCACAGGCATAGAACTAGCGGTGACCGACAATTAGTCACAGAATGGACCGGTCTAGAACGACAGCCCCTCTAAAAGCCAGGTAACTCTCAAAAAAACGAGGTTATTAATCGATGATGCGATGATTTGTGAGCATTCTCTTGGCCTAGAATGTTCTTTTACTGCGACATCCCATGGCTCATTGGTGCATGGGAAGGCGAGGCGCGGAAGCGTAGCATCGAGCCCAGATGATGATGTGGTGGCGAGGGACTGACGAAGTATGACCCCATGTTGGATCCGGTACGGGTAAGTCAATTAGGGCAATAATGATCAAGACGATAGTGGAGCCTAAAGATGATGATATTGATCTCTGTTCTTGTAGGATCTAACCTGCTTCCAGGGCCCTGTTTCCGGTGAGGGGTTTTTGGTCAATCTCACACCCCCCTCATGACTAAGACAAGATATTGATGTATCAGGGATTCGGTCTTATCCGGGCCCCTAGTCCGGCACCCGAGGGTCAGTCCAACACCCCATATTAAATGGTTAGCTACCACTCCCAAAGTGGCTATCCAATCTTTGAAGACGGGTGTGGTCTGTTACCTCCTAGCAAATCTCAGCCAGATGCATCACAACACTGGTGTGAGGAACTTTATGGCTAGTCCCATAAGATCACCGATTCTTTGCCCTTTATATAGACAGTGACTTGGAATAAATCATCAGCTGTGAAAGCGCTCCTTCCAGCTGACGTCACCGTTGATATACTCGACCTAGCGCAATGCTTCACTATCACACGAAGCCCCTATTTCAAATACATCCCCCATTAGATACAGCGGAGTACCGAGATAATCTTATAGGCAGTATCGTCAAATATCCAGATATACCCACAGAGACATACGTATCCTACAAAATCGAAAAATTGCCAAAGAATATCATATTAAAACTGAACCCTTCCACTCAGGTCCGGAACATCGAGTTTTGGACGCATAGAATCAAGAAGACTAAAGGCCTATCCTCGGTTAATAAAATCTTTGAGAGGTTCCACGAAAGTTCAAATACAACAATAGCAACTACAGCGCTACTATAGCATATAGATTTACCAGGCAAGAAGTTCAAAAAGCTGCTACAAAACACAGCCTATTTAGAGCAGCTATTCGACTTGCTAAAAAATAGTAAGAATCATAAAGGGTATTTTATTACGGATATTATCACGCTGGTAAACTATAAGGTTACCATAGAATCTCAAAACTTACAAACCAATAGTATAATAAAGCAGGTAGGGTCAGAGATTAGTACTAGCATTTAGCATCAAGTTTCCAGTCAGTACTGGTACTCTAGATACTATAAGGGGGAACTAATTGTATTTCTTAGATATTATCGTATAAAGCTTAAGAAGATAGATGGCACTATAGCAACACTTAGGAGGTTATTTCTAGGCCAAAATTATAGTCTCAAAGTGCGGCATGGGTTTGACTTCTGGCCACAAAAAATTGACAGTCCTGCCGAGAGAGGTATGGAAATATCCTTGGGTGATACAAGCGGGAGAAACAAAATTATCAAGAAACAACGGGTGCAACTACCAGATAGTCACATCGAAATTGTCAGGAAGCTGGGGTTTGATATTGAGATTGTCGGATGAGTTAGCGGGAAGAATTAGAATTTATCACATTACTAGATCCGGCCAGCTACAAGAGCATAGAAAATAGCCTTCGGCTGGGGAATCCAATAGCTACGGATCCATAACTTCAAGGAAAGTTAATTGCTGCGAACCTGAGCTAAAGCTATCCATATCTCCACATCCCTATTACATTTCGTTTTTAAGGTTAAAAAAAAACGCCTTGCCGCCTCCTCATTCTCTACTAATCCGTGTTACATGTCCTTTCACCTAAAGGCCTCCTTAGTAGAAGCCCTAATTGCATTGTCAAGTCAAAAGGTTAAAATCTTACACTTGCCTCTCGGCAGCCACTCTTATACTTGTTGACCAGCTGGATCACCATGAATACATCAGGTCCGTTCGTGTAGGCGTCCACCCTTCGTCGACTCAAAAAAGATCTAAGCCTAGTTGCATGCAGGTTGACCGCGACCTCGTTCTTACTGCGTTTACCTGCAGCAATTATTTGAGGCGAACTGCACCGGCCACCCTGATTCCGTCCAGGGGTAGGCCTGACGAGCGAGCCACTGGCCATACAGAAGCCATGACGCAACCCAGGAGTTCTCGTCAATTTAGCTATGTAACACTCCGCCCTCTAACATGATAATGAGGCGGCCGGGCCAAGGACGGCCGAGTAGGCTAGGATCAATACAGTGACCTGCATGCATCAAGCCTTGTGGGCTGTCTCTATCACCATGGCCCAGGCCGGTGCTGAAAGAACGTGTTGGTTGGTTTTCCACTAGCCAACGATGTTGACAGGACGTATCCTGCCAAATAGCATGCCAGGAAGGTGCTAAGATCATCCCGCTTAAAAAACCAGACAAGGGCGGCTACGCGATCGCTAAGGCATAGAGACCGATCTCATTGCTGTCGATGTTAGGTAAGATCTTCGAGGCAGTTGTAGCGGACAGGATCTCGTACGCCGTCGAGGCGTTCGGGCTCCTACCCACAAACCACTTTGAAGCGAGAAAACGGCGGTCGACAGAGCAGGCACTGTTACTTCTGCAGGAGTATATCTACAAGGCGTGGAGAAACCGCACGGTGGTTAGTCTTATCAGCTTTAATATCAAAAGTATATATAACGGCGTATTCAAAGATCGTCTCCTGTAGAGACTGGAGGTCAGAGGCATACCACAGTAGCTGGTTAAATGGATCGATACATTCTGCTCAAATCGCACGGCGAGTATTGTAGTGAACGACTATATATCGAAGCGACAGCCGCTACCCCAAGTGTGCCTTCCGCAGGGATTGCCGCTGTCGCCGGTCCTGTTTCTGTTTTTTAACGCGGATCTGGTACGGAGTAGAATCAACTCTACGGGCAGTTTAATGGCATTTATAGACGACTACTCGGCCTGGGTGACGGGGCCGACGGCGGAGATAAATAGGGCAGATATCCAGGCTATTATAGACAGAGCACTGGATTGGGAAAGATAGAGCGGTGTAATACTTAAAGGCAATAAGACGACTATTATATACTTTACGTATAATACCAAGCATACCAGCAATATGCTATTTGTAATTAAGGGAAAGGAGGTTAAACTGATATAAAGCGCTAAGATTCTGGGAGTGATGATGGATATAAAGCTACGGTACAAGAAACATATGGCCAGAGCAGCAGCTAAGGGGCTGTCGGCAGCCATATGCCTGAGAAGGCTCAAAATACTATCCCCTCGGACAGCAAGGCAGCTTTTCACGGCGACGGTAGCACCAACCATGGACTACGCCTCCACCGTGTGGGCGCATGCGTGCGGGACAAGAGAACTGAGCTGGCTGAATAGAGCGCAGAAGGTAGGTGCCCAAGCGATTACAGGCACCTTCCGAACAACAGCGACCGCGGTAGCGGAAGCGGAAGCAAGCATCCCCACGATAGGGGAACGCCATGCTCGAGCCTGCACTAGGCTCTACATCAACCTGCACACTTTTCCAAAGACGCACCCGCTCGCGGGACTCAAGACGTCAAGCAGCCGGAGATATATGTCACCGATGAGGTGGCAACCAGTGCCTCTGAGAAGGCAGGAAGGGTAGGCATGGGCGGCATCGTTCGTGATACCCTAGCCAACAGACCAGGCGAAGTGGTAGCTAAGTACTTAATTACAATCAGCTCAAGAGATGATCAGAATGTATACACAGCAGAGCTGGAAGCTATAGCAATGGCGCTAAGATACACGCCAGATGGACTTTAACATTGAGAGTTAACTGTTATAACAAGCAGCTGATCAGCATTAGAAGTAATTATATAACTAACGTGGTTCACAAGCGAGTGAGCTATCCAAGCGAGTGAGCCACCTCTAAATCCCATATAAAATGCCATTTTCAACCCCCTTGTAAAAACTATTAGAATTTAATTAAACTTAACTAAAAGTTACTTGTATATTTGCTGTAGTATAATAATAGAATATTAATTTTCTGAGATTTTATATAATTATTTTTAAGAAGTTATTCTAAAACTTTAATATAAGGTATTCTTATAAATAGAAACTTAAAATATCTCTATAAATAAAATTATATAAAGTCTTAGAAAAATATTAAGCTGTTATTATATTAAAGTAAAATATACAAGTAATATATTATTAATTCTTATTAGAAACTTATGGTTTTTATAAGGGGGTTGAAAATGGTATTTTGTATGGGATTTAGAGGTAGCTCACTTGCTTGGATGGCTCACTTGCTTGTGAACCACGTTACAACAGCAGTCAGAATAATATACTATTAAAGAGATTAACAAGCACACCAAATAACTCTAGAAAAGCAGCAACATTACTAAGATATTATAAGTACTATCTGGAGACAGAGACCTTACTATAGGCTATAAAACAAAGGCAGAAGCTTAAAGAGCTGTATAAGGAAAACATAGGCTGAAGAAAGCAGTATATTAAGCTTATTTTACACAGATAAGACTAACAATCATATAGCAGTAACATCAGAAGACTCTACCTAATAGAATCAGAAACTATTTAAAGTGTATTAATAAAGTATTACTAAGCATATACACACACCCCCTGTATAATGGACTAAAAAGAAATAAATTAGACATACTCTTATAGCTGTGCATAAGAATAGCTAGAATTAACAGCTACCTGCATAGAATTAGGGCAGTAGAATTAGACATATATAACTGTAGATAAGCAGCAGAGACAATAGAACATTTTCTGTTCTGGTGTATGAAGTGGGATGCATAGCAGGAAGGGATGCGAAGGATTAGATAGGTAAAGATAGGAAACCTCTTATTCTTTTTAGGAGGAAAGGCAGCATTAGATGGCCCTAAATGGGCACCTAACCTACAGGCGGTGCGGTCGGCGATTAAGTTCACCATGGATACGAGGAGACTTAATGCAAACCAGACTGGATAATATACTAATTAATCAAATTAGCGGCCAAACCTGGCGATACTAATACTAAACAGCCTTAAAGTTGGCAGATCAAGCTTCAGCTGCTGAGAATAGGATGCTGAACACTTGGATGTCACGACCCATGTCGAACTAGGCCCCGACCACGTCACGTGCGCTAACAGCGTACCCACTTATCCCCTCCTATCACAAATAGATCACCCCGATCATTAGATGATCCAAGTGATCCAGGGACATGAGAATCATTAGGATCATTAGATGATCCTCATGATCCGTCAACCCACCGTAACTATATAGTCGATTGAGTAGTGCACATTCAACATGTACAGCTACTCAGCTATCAATACAACTTGGTTACCTTAATTACCTTGACTCGCTACGCATTACTGTGCTTGACTATTACCAGACGTAACATTACTCTGTAAGTGACGCCCTAACCGCTCTGCTAACATAAACCTACGGTTTATCCACCAGCAACCCGCCTTCTGTCTACCCTAGACCACGCCTACGGCAGACCAGGAGACACGACCGTTACATTGGAGGAATTGGCCTTTAAGCAGGCCTGTCACAGGAGCCGAGACCAATCAGCGGACGAGGAACGATAAACTTAAAACTGTAAATAGCCCAGCGCACCTGGCCCTATGAGGTTAGTCCTCCCAGGCGGAATAAATTTCATTCATTCATTCAACTGTACTTAGTAATCAGCTGCGAACTTTAAGTAAAATCTGTGGGCTAGAGTACCCCGCACTTTAGACAACAATCAATCACACACTGCTGCTGCTCATTACCGTTTACCTGACCTTTGGTCCTTTTAGCAAGCTCAGGACACATCAGCTTCCAAAACTGCCAACGACGAGAACCACAACCAAGAAAACCAAAGCTCTACGAACGCCTGAACCACAACATTGAATCCATCCCAATCCCCCAACCACAGCCATGTTCTCCCGACAAGCCTTCTGCACCGTCCGGACCGCTACTCTCCAGCGTGCTGCTTCCCTCCGAGCGGCTCCTGCACGAACCTTCGCCGGCGCTGCCAACGACAGCCGACCCCCAGTCTACCTCCCTGGTGTTGCATCTAGCAGATGGATGAGATCATATGTGCGAGAAGCTCTTGCTATTCTTCCTATCTAATAGAGGTCTGCTAGGTCAGTCTTATAGATGAAGATGACCTCGGATGACCTCGGACGGCCGAGAGGCTCCGGATGGTCCGGAGTCTTTGGCTTCAGCTAGCTATTGATAAAATCAAGGAAAAGCTAGGACTATCATGAGATCGGTGACGAGGCCGATGATGAGGCAGGTGGCGATGGACGCCTATGATGAAGGAAGAAAGCTTCAATAGCATGATACATCCGGAATCCGATATCCCGATATATGTAACACCTGGCCTTGATGGAACCTATGCTACCGCTCTAGTACGCCGATGTGTCGTCCTTTGTAATGGACCAATGCGGCTGCGTCGAGTGAGGCAGAACCATCATGTGCTGACTGTGTCAATTTAGTACACTGCCGCGGCGAAGATGTCGACCCTCGACCCCACCGCCAAAGCCATCGCCAACCTGAGCAACGTCTTCGTGAAGGACACCAAGCTGACGCAAGTCCTGTCAACTCCGAGGCTCAGCGCTGAGGACAAGTCGGCGATCGTAGCCGAGCTGGGCAAGCACACAGGTGCCAACGTTGCGACTGTCAAGAATTTCCTTGAGACTCTCGCTGAGAACAACCGACTAGGTCACCTTCAGGGCGTGTGCGAGAAGTTTGGTGAGCTGATGTCCGCCAAGCGGGGTGAAGTGGAGATGACTATTACGAGCGCCGAGCGTCTGGATAACAAAACTCTTTCGCGACTAGAGACTGCTGTTTCTAAGTCCTCCTATGTCGGCCAGGGCAAGAAGCTCAAGGTTACCAATAAGGTATATTCTGCTTTTCGCAAACACGACCTCCGGTTTGGCCCCAACCTAACATATCTTGATACAGGTCGACCCTGAGATTGTTGGCGGACTCATTGTCGCGGTCGGCGACCGAACCATTGATCTCAGCGTCTGCTCCCGCATCGCCAAGATGAACAAGCTCTTGACGGACAGCCTGTAAACTTTAGCCAATAACCACACGTCTATTTTATCTGAATGCAATTACGTCGAGGTCATGAAATCCTTGTACTGCGCATTGGAACTGAAATTGTAAATTTATTTCGCATCCCGAGACAAGACGAATAGCTTAGTAAATGATCGGGAGTCACTTAGTTGCCATATGTGATACCCCGTTGCTGACAGTGGAATACGTCGAACGAGGAAGAGCGTTTCTGGACATGTCAAAGTCTTGACGGCTGGTCTGAATACGTAGAGGAGATTTCCGGCGTTTTAAACGAAACCGATACTCATCAATTTAATGATGATAACCGCATCCTGCGAAGAGTAACCGACCAGAGGGAACTGGTGCGGTTGAAACTTAAAGTGGCCCCGAAGGAACGAGAGTCGGGGAAGTTGATCCGCTGCGATCGGTTGAAGAAAGACTTGAACCTTGAATGGCCGACGGTCGGTCTCGATTCAGGGAGGATGTTGAGGAAGTACAAGCCGTACCCCGCCCTGGTGTTATGCCCTTAACAGTTAGCGCCGCATTGTAGAGGCTATAGGAGCGTGACTGTTAAGGCCTTATTAAAATACTACGTCACGCCTTGCACTTGAGAGCGGTGGTGCAACCCTGCGAGGGGTACAATCAGCCGAAGGCTGAGAGTCCGCGGGCCAAGCAATTATCTACAACCATTACATCATTTACGCACTGGAGCAATTTTTGTAACATTTCTTCTTGTCGCGAGCAGAATCACCTAGAATTATGCAGAACCGTGGTCTGTCTTGTAGGGATTCCGTGTAAGAACCTGTCGTCTCCGAAGCTGCTGATCCCTCATCTTCATTTTCATACCATCCGGGGGAGACGCGTAAACCAGGTGATTGCGATCAAATGGGGCATCTAACATCAAGCCCTCGAGCGTTTTCACCCGAGAGACAGCCGCTCCAAGAGACGTGGGTGTTCTCGATAGTCTCCACAAGAGGGTGGGGGAGAACCGTAGCAACGAGGTCCTCCACCTTGTTCGGAAAGACCACAATATGGCCTTTCACGTGCGTGTTGAGCGGGGTGCAGATCAGCTAAACGCACTCTCCCCACCATCTCATTGGTCGACGCATTTCGTCGTTTATTAGACCTCCGTGAAGGGTTGTCATTGTCCTTGGCGAGTGGTGTGGGGTTCAGTCAACCCATCTCTCTTCGAGGACACGACTTCTGCTACCCCTCCAGATGATCTTGTACCCTCCGATACGGTTCCATCATGCCAGCCTCGAGTGGGCCGGCGTCGGTGTCTCGTTTGCCACGACGTAGGAATCAAAAAGAGGGCCCAAGATGATTTCTGGCAAGTTCTCTGGATGCACGAGTATGGCTGCCGCACGAGGGAGGTTGGGGTGAGGTGTACAGAGTAATTACGAAAATCTTGCTTTGTCTAGGTAGTTTGCACTCCACCGAGGCCCCATGCAAGTCCCCTCAGCGAGTTGACTGGGACGGGGCGGCAGTCTGCCAGTGTGGTGTGATGGATAGTTACAGTATTCGCATCCTCATTTCCTTGATTTCCTCTGTCGGTCGTGGCAGACATGCGTAGTGTGGCTTGCACGAGATGCCGGGCGTTGGCATTTGTTGGGGCATTGGCTTGGTCCTGACTCCTGCCATGGTCAGGCTGCGAGCACACCATTCTTGCCCCATGCGGAGAGGGATTCGGGTCCAGAACCCCATGGCGGTGCGCGCATGGTTGCCATGCCATGGCGCCCATGGTGGCGGCGGTACCTAAGCAATTAGCCCCTTGCTCCGGCTGGTTAGAGAAGCTTGGGATGCAAGATCGAAAAGTGCCATGTACGGGGTCTCGTTGGATCACATTACGGGCAGCTCCTCAGCTATCAATAGAACTTGGTTACATTGAGTACCTTCGACTCTACCATTACCAGACGTGACAAGACATTGTTCAAGTCTGAGCCGCCTGATCCATTGTCAACATAAACCAAACCAAATCAACCCAAATCAACCCAAATCAACCCAAATCAGCCCAAATCAACCCAAATCAACCCAAATCAACCCAAATCAACCCAAATCAACCCAACCCTGTTCGTCACACTTATCCATCCATAGGTGGCGTAACTTTCAATCCTTCAGCACATCGCAACTCGGCAATCAGCCCATAGCTTTTCCCAAAACCCCACTGGGGATAGCCCAGAATGTCAAAGCGATGATAATATAGAGTCCCACAAGCTGCAGTGTAATTAGTACGCTGTAGGTATAGAAGGGCAAGAGAACATAAACTCACCATGGCTCCCTCCAGATAGTTACATTTCCCATCCTGCACTGTGCCCGTCACGACTAAAACGGACACAGTGAAGATAATTGTCTCAACTGCAACAAGCATCAGCAAGCGTGTTCAAAGTCGCTTACGTCCTCTAACTCACGAATATTGAAATTCAAACTCATCGGCACATTCATTGACCAGCCCAAGACAACCAGCAACGGCGTAACCAGCAGCGCAATCTGGATACTGGATCCGATTGCAACACCCGTGGCCTTGTTTCCACGTAACCAGTCAGTTCACAATAAAACCAGGTAAAGAAGCAGGTTATCACTCACCAAATCCATCTTATTCCTTACGGCCATCACACACGCCGTGGCGTGCTCGGCTGCGTTGCCGACAATGGGGATCAGGATCAAGCCAATAAAGCTCTTGCTGGTGTGCGCGTCTTTGGCGATGCTGTTAATACTACTAACTAGGTAGTCTGCACAGAATGAGATAACAACGGTCACGGCAATCAGTACCGCTACAGTAGACCAAGGGCTCATTACTGATTCGGGCTCGTCCTCTCCCTCATGACTTGAGGACGTTTCACCAGTCCCCTCGCTGAACAGATTCTTGTGCGTCCGCAACTGGAAGCACAGATACAGGGCGTACAGGATAAGAAGGATGATGGCCGTCCCGCGCGAGTGCCAAATGATGGTTTCGGCTTTACCGTACTGATCCGAGCTGTTGAGGATGCTGTAGAGCTGCATTTCGAGGTTAGTGTTCTTCCTGATGCTTATTGTAGCACAATCTTTTGTGGACTGGGCTCTGGGAGGCTGCTCACAGTAGCGGGAATGATCATTGAGGCGGCTGACAGCGCTAATAAGGAGCATGTCGTTTGTGCCATCGCACTGGTGAAGGTCTGCTCGGTACCGTTGCCTGAATCATCCTTCATGTTGACAAGGCCGCCGAGCAGAAAGCTACTGCCCATGACAAGAAGAAGATTGGATAGAATGGAGCCAAGCATTGACGACTGCACGAGTTCGATTTGGTTCTTCTTCAGGGCGACGATACTCACGATGAGCTCAACTGCGTTGCGAAAGTGGCATTCAGCAGCCCTCCTATTGTCTCGCCCAGTGGGATGGAAATCTCTTCCGTAGCGAAGGATAACACCGCTGCCAGGGGAATAATGGCGATGAAGTTCAGCGAGAACACAGCCGCAGGGCTCCAACCAAGCACGCCGGCAATGATACCTAGTGGCACGAATGGGAGCAGGATGTTGACGTAGTCTATCGCATCAATTCAGTCGTAGTTCAATCAATCAGCGGAGACATACTTACTGTTCATCAGCGTAGCCTCGGTGACATGGAAAGCATTTGCTGGCCATTTGATCAGACGATTCGGGCTGTCTTTGCCAGGAGTGTTTGTGCCGTCAAATAAGCGCCTCATGAATCCATGGTGCTCCTCATTCACGGGTGGTACGCTAAGCAACGGCGATCCCTCGTGGTAGAGCCCTGGGTTGGCGGCTTCATCGTCGCTGTAGCTGCGGTTGACCCTTCGGCCGGAGTTTCTGCCTGACCAAGTGCGACGGACCTGCTTGCGAAAGGCTGGGTAGGCTGCGTAGCGGAAAAGGTTAGCTAGCGATGGCATATGCGGCTCGGGCGCGAGTTTCAATTGATAGAAGCGCAGTGGAATCTAGGGGCTTCAATGTCACGAAGATAGAATGAAGTTGTTGCTTACCAATCATGGTCTGTCACAGTCTTAAGACCAAATGAATTATGGAATGGAGTGCTAGACCAAGCGCTCATTGGCGTCTTACGCATATTAGATATCTAAATGCCAAAAATACGGATGGCAGAAACGCCGCCGAGTCTCCATCGGAGATTGAGTGCAACATCGAACTGGCATGTGCACTTCCGCCACCCAAGTCACCTGTACAGCAAAATTGGACCCAATCCTGGACAAGTGAACAAGGCAGACAACCTCTGCGCCCCTCCAAGGTTATTTATTATGTTGCTGGAATCCGGGATATGGGCGCCCAGCAAGACTGCCACATGTGGACTCGTCACCAGTCACGTCATCATTTCTGCTGCGCCATGGTATAAACAAGTTGCACATTAATACACAACCCCGCTATTCTATTTCCACCAACAATGCCATGTCTCGATTCTTAAAACGAACAGTATTACCCCCCATTCTTTTCCTCACGGGCGCTCCCAAGAATCAATATCCTATCTGGAGAGCATCACAGCACGACGGTCCATTCAGACGATTCAAACTATCGCTGGTGCAGGTGCCGGAATAGTGCCAAGCATCGTAACATGTCTTTTAGATGTTATTAAATAAATCTGCAGTAGAAATGGGGCCACCAGTTACTGAGTCCTGACTCTTGTCAGCGTCCAACACCCGCTCCAATATCGCCTCATTGGGACTGTTCGCTGACTACTGTGAGTAGCGCTGCCATCGACACGGACATCGTGACGTAACCTAGCTCCTGGACGTGGACGGGGAAGAATGGACGTTTAGTACTATCTAAACTAATGACGCTCGCCAACGGAAGTTTAGTGTCTTCTATAGCGAAAAATGATTTATTTAATTCAGGACTGATCCGGAAGTATGAATAGGTACCAGACTTAGTACGAGAGAGATGTCGAGTAGTGATGATCTAAGGTCAGTACTCGAGGTACGACGAGGCTGTACTCCCTCGACAATTTTGGAATAATAATCAACTTGCCGTCATTTTATGGCGTCATCAGAGTTTCAAGGCAATATGCTCTTAAACAAGATAAGCTTACGGAGGCGTTTTAGGTGACATCATGCGAGCGTCTCAATTCAATAGCGGGGCGCGTTACCACTCCTACTTGGGGTTAGCCCATAAAACGGTGTATGATCTCCTTGGATATTGTCATATCATGGCTGTATACTTACTTGTTACGTACCTACCAGTCGTCGCGCCTTTCACTGTCAACCCCGCCTTCTCACCGTTTCAACGTTGTCTTTTTGTTCTCACACGCTGAATAGACTTATCTCATCGGCGTCTAATAACCACAACTGCTGAATTGAGCTCACCATGCGTGAGATTGTGAGTCCGCTTCCAATCCGCCTTGGAGGCTCTACAAACTAATTTTGAACTCCCTCTTCTCTATAGGTGCATCTCCAAGTTGGCCAATGTGTGAGTATCACACCCTTCTTGTTGCATGTGTTTCTTCTCTCATGCCATGTGTTGACCTCAATAGGGCAACCAAGTCGGCTCTGCCTTCTGGCAGACCATTTCGGGCGAGCATGGTCTGGATAGCAGTGGCGTGTAGGCGACCCATTTGAATCGCCACCCAACATCCCTCCTTCTCACACATCAATCTAGGTATAATGGAACCTCCGATCTCCAGCTCGCGCGCATGAACGTCTATTTCAACGAGGTGCGCGATATTGCGTGACCCATGCCAAACTATCCTCGGTCTCTGATCGAGCTCGCATAGACATCCAGCAACAAGTACGTGCCGCGCGCCGTGCTCGTTGACCTAGAACCTGGCACGATGGACGCGGTGCGCTCCGGTCCGTTTGGCCAACTTTTCCGCCCTGACAACTTCGTCTTTGGACACTCGAGCGCCGGCAATAACTGGGCTAAGGGCCACTACACCGAGGGCGCCGAGTTGGTTGATCAGGTGCTGGACGTGGTCCGTCGCGAGACCGAAGGCTGCGACTCCCTCCAAGGCTTTCAAATCACCCACTCGCTCGGCGGCGGTACGGGCTCCGGCATGGGCACGCTGCTGATTTCCAAGATTCGTGAGGGTGAGATTGATATCACTGATGTGATGCACATTTCGATGCATTGTCTCTCACGGTTCTAACAGCCTATTTAGAGTTCCCGGATCGTATGATGGCTACCTTCAGTGTAATACCGTCTCCCAAGGTATCCGATACCGTCGTGGAGCCGTATAATGCCACGCTCTCGGTCCACCAGCTGGTTGACAACTCAGATTCGACTTTCTGTATCGATAACGAAGCTCTGTATGATATTTGCAAACGTACCTTGAAGCTGTCGAACCCTTCGTATGGCGACCTTAACCACCTCGTGTCAACCGTCATGTCCGGCGTGTCAACTTCGCTGCGCTTCCCCGGACAGCTAAACTCTGACCTTCGCAAGATGGCCGTTAACATGGTAGGAAGACTCCTCTCATCCAAACCTATATCGCCGTCATCGAAGAACGTTAGGGCTGAGCATCTCCCCTCTTCTCATCTAGGTTCCCTTCCCCCGCCTGCACTTCTTCATGGTTGGCTTTGCGCCCCTCACTAGCCGTGGCTCGCACTCGTTCAGCGCCGTCTCTGTCCCCGAGCTTACCCAGCAGTTATTTGACCCCAAGAACATGATGACCGGCTCTGATTTCCGAAACGGTCGCTATCTGGCCTGCTCTGCCATCTTTCGCGGAAAGGTATCTGCGAAGGAGGTGGAGGATCAGATGCACAAGGTTCAGCAGAAGAACTCGGGTTACTTTGTTGAATGGATTCCTAATAACGTGCAGACGACTCTATGCTCTGTCCCCCCGCAGGGGCTGGAGATGTCGTCCACTTTTGTCGGCAACTCGACCGCCATCCAGGAGATCTTTAAGCGCGTCGGCGAGCAGTTCACCGCTATGTTCCGCCGCAAGGCCTTCTTGCACTGGTATACTGGAGAAGGCATGGACGAGATGGAATTTACGGAAGCCGCGTCCAATATGAATGACCTGGTGTCGGAGTACCAGCAGTATCAGGACGCAGGCGTCGACGACGACGACGACGACGTCTATAGCGAGGAGGAAATCCCCCAATAGTCACAGAGTCCTTGGGCGAAATTACGAGGATACTTGACATCTCCACAGATGTCGCCGATAGCGTAGTGGAGTTGTGTTTATAAGGCTGCTACTATTTTACATATAAGCATTCGTCCTTGATAGACCGAATGCACGTTTCACACCTGCCGCGCTGCGAGGGAATGAATAAAGTGTCTGAGTGCATCCCCTTTCTCTCCGTGCCCACTGCTCTTTAATCGCCAACATATTGTAGACCGACTGCTAGGATGCTCATGGCCGGCATTTGACATTATCCCTGCTCCTTTTCTCCAGGACCAGTTCCGGAATACATGCGGCTCCGGGGCCGACGACAAGTTTGGCAGCGGTGCTGTAGGGTAGTAGTATCAGGGTAGGATTGAAGGTTAGCGCTCCATATCCCATCGACTGTAGAGGACCTCTAATAGGGTCACTCACAGGGATTGAATCCAATCACGACCATCGCATTAACAGACACCTTTTTCGGCACTGATCTTCGCTGGAGTCATAAGTCAAGGTGTCATAAGACTACAGCAGATAAGGTGACACTCGGGGATGTGGAATTTTTTTATCTGATATAGGCCTAACACTGGGGCAAAATACCCGGTGGAGGACAGTCTACCGAAAGGGATTTACATCACTCTTCTGGCTTTGTTTCTGGAAGTCCTTAATCTTCATAGCAGGGTCTCTGCCCTTTCGAAGTTTGATCTTATACACCTTCAAGGAAGACGCAGGGTATTCGGTCTTCAGACCGATCGGATGACCGAGACTGGTGATTGTGTAGTCCAGCCCGTCTTTCCCGCTCTCGAAGCTGAAGTATCTGGGAGGTTTGGGGTCTGGAATAAAGGACACAAGTCATGTGTTGATGATCTAACCTTAGCAGGCCAAGAAATACGGGAAGACGAACCTTTCTCTCGGCTGACTTCCGCTTGGTTGAGGACCTTGAGTCCAAGAGTCTCGGGGGCAACATTTTTATTGCTCACACTCCTCAGAAGAGTCCTAATGGCGTCGTTATCCTCTTCCTTAGGTCAGTTCACGAGCTTCACGAAGGTCGATACAAGCGGACTGACTGTAGATCATGATACCATGCTCAAAACAGGATTCGCCGGAATAGCAGATCAGAAAGAATGCATCAATTCTCTATCAGCTCTTCGGCGTCAAAGTCTAATGGGGTTGCCACCGACTAGTCGCATTCGACACTCTTATCGTGAACAGAGCGACCAAAGACCTGGAGAACACGGTGGTACGACGCCATTTGAGAATCACTGCCACTGGGAATACCACCGTTGATTCTAAACGCTACCAGGGTTGAAGAAGACACAATACAAAAAGAAGTAGTGGAGAGAGACCTGGCCTGAAGCGATCTTGTAACAAAGCCTGACAAAATGTCTTCAGGAAAGAGGCAGATTTTCCCAATGCGGAAGACACTAATTCCCGCACATTAATGCCTGATTGTCTACCCCGTACAGCTTTCTGGCCGTCAGGCAGCAGCATCTGCAACCATGGAAACGCAACAGCCCAATCGCATATCGAGGAGGCGCTCTCGATGCGGCAAGCGGAATGCACTGGCAAGAGTAGGATATAGCCCGAAGTCCGCCATAGCCCAATAAATCGTCGATGGTAGCATGTTACTGCTTGGTCTTGTCTGTCGGCTGCAGCTGGTGGCTGATATTGGATGCCCCGTGGGCGTGTAATTGTTATAGCAATATCCTTCTAGCTACTTAGCATAAAGGATGTGATGGATCCGTTACGGTCAATTCGATTAGATGGATAGGGATCAATACAGTGATGATGATGTTGATGATTGCTTGTGCCGGTCATCTGGATCGGCCGGAAGAGGGGTTATTATACCCCCCCTTCTGACTAAGGTCAGGATATCAATCTATCCGAGGTTTCGTCATACAGGGTCATCATTCAACAGGATGTACAGGAACTCAGAGCGGGGACCTGACGCAATCAAGAACAGACATACACCCAATCAGACACTACAGACAATCTGGGCTCGTGACATTAGCGGAGTGCGCATTCCCTTTTGCCGTAGCTGGCAATGCGACAGGGGTAAAAGGCTAACATTTAGGGCGAGTAACGGCCTACAAAAGTGGGTTTAGAGAACTTACACAACACATACACACCCAATTTTCCACAATTTATCCCCATCCAACTTGACAAGAAGCTTCCCCTAGACACATCACGATCCATCGCTCGTCGTGTGATCATGTAGGGACCCCGGGCTGTAGGACATCCTGCGAAGTTTGATCTTTCCCCCCGCAACGAAATGGTCTCGACCGTTGTGCTGACCAATAAGGTATTACGGAGGCACTCCGCCAGCCCAGGTTTAGGGTTTGCCGCTGATAAGGTGGTGCCCGAGTCATAAGCCTCATTGGTTTGAGCCATGTCATCGAGGCGCTTCCAAGGTGGTTTCATCGAGGGGGTGGGTTCCCCGGTCGCGTCCCTGGCATCTTTAACAGCTCGGCAATCACTAAAACATGTGTTTTTACAACGGACGAGGCTCAGATCACTCGAATCCGTCAGGATACCTTGGACGGCAGTAACGTAACGATGGGCTGTTTCTGAAACCAAAAAAAAAAAAGGGAAAAAAAGGAGGAGGGTGAACACGAGGAGAAGACGAAATTCATTTTCACATTTATGAAGCGCATCGATGAGAAGTTAAATCCTACATTACTACAGGGGTATGGTTCGGTTGTGCGCGACATGGCAGTGGCAATTATCTAGTTGCAAATCTCGATCTGTCTTGTCCCAACAATTCGGCGAGTTACAAATCGCGACATCATGTCCGCTTCCCTGTTCTGCGGCTCCAAGTTGTGTGTGACGGCTGGGTCTAGCCTAGAGGTATAGGGTAGGTCCAAGGCGTGTTTGATGATCGAGTGGATCAGGACGTCGTAGTGAGCAATGTAGGTCACGGTCTGGTAATGTGCAAAACATAGTATATTAACCCAAGGACTGGCTGTCACTAGGACACCGGCTCCTCAGCTATCAATACAACTTGGTTACCTCAATCTACTCCGACTGCTACGCATCATCGTACATTGACTATTATTTAACGTAACACCTACCGCTCAGATAAGTAACGCGCCTAATCGTTCTGCTAACATAGACCCTGGTCTATCCCTTAGAAACCCATTCCAAGCTACTCTATACTCCGTACAGGCTAGCTTGAGACACGACTGTTACACCTAGACTGTCACGCTACAGGGCTAAAGATTGAGCCTTGATTGCAATTGTAGCAATCAAGCAGGTGCACCAGCTGCCTTATGAAGCCTATCGCTTACGGAGTGTAACAGTCGTGTCCTAGGCTAGCCTGTATGTGGTATAGGGTAGCTTGGAATGGGTTTCTAAGGGATAGACCAGGGTCTATATTAGCAGAACGATTAGGCGCGTTACTTATCTGAGCGGTAGGTGTTACGTTAGGTAATAGACAATATATAATGATATGTAGCAGTCAGAGTAGATTGTGGTAACCAAGTTTTAGTTGATAGCTGAGGAGCTGGTATCCTAGTGACAGCCAGTTCCTCGGGTTAATATACTATGGTGATCAAGAGTGATCACGGAGTGATCACTCGGCTTAAACTAGTTCCCATTCCGGGAGGCTGAGAAAAAGTGGGGTCCCACCTGGCCTTCGTCAGGGCCGCGGCCAGGCCGTGACCCAGAGGACCAAGCCGTAACAACTTCCTTATTGTATATTAAATGCTATATTTTCAAATATTTATAACTCTTTCAAATTAAGCCTGAAATAAACAAATATTTTAGATAAGGCATATTATTAAATAATAAACTTCCTATAAAATCCCTAAAAATGCCTTATAACTAGAATATAGATGTAACGCTCACCTTACCGTGAGTTGTGTAAGTGAGCGTCCGTGGTCCTGCTCACTCTCTCCAAAGTGGGCCCGCTCATCCCCGGCCTCAAGCAGCACCGTACTTCCGGTTCTGCCGGTCGTGACCGCCCTGGCCTACAGGAAGGCCGCCCAGGCCGTGACAGCTGGACAGCGACAATCGGCGCAGAGGAAAAGAGCGATTTCAGTAGAAGCAGAAAAAAACAGTCAATTCTGAGAAGACTGGGGTAAAAGCGTGATAATACAATTTAGAAAATAAAGTCGTGAGGCATCCAGCTAACTGGGAGGCGTTCCATCCACTGAAGCTGATGATGATGTCTCCTTGTCTCTGTTGAAGATGACGATCCTGATCTTTTCTGCGAAAAAACGCTCCCTGCAGCTAAGCCTCTTTGGGCCACAGCGATCATAGCTACCTGTAACGGTTGTGCTAGTTCCGCTATACCAGGGGGCAAAAGATTGGTTAATGATCGCTGTGGTGGCAATCATCTAGGCACATTACTGCACTATAAGGCCTCGATCGCTGTTCAGTGAACTAAGCCGTAACACTTATGGGCTACGTTGTTGTGATTAGTTTTCTAGTATTTTTCATTTAATTTTTAAAACTTGATTTTGTGTTATAAAAAATACAAAGTGAAAATCTTTATGGTGACGGGTACCCGTCACCCTATGGGGTGCCCTGGAATACGTAGTAGGCGCGAGGGTCCCACAAAAGGTAGCTGAGCTAAAATATCCGCACTGGCTACATATACAAAGAAGTGAAGGTCCCCGTTAACATACTACACAAGTACACGGGCCAGTTTCCGTCTATTGTGCGTGACGTCGATCAATCATATCTGCCGAGAGTTTATCGGCCGTGCATCTTTGGGCTGGCGCAGGGTGCTCTACTTTGGTGAGCTATCTCAGCCTCCTCCATCCTCATCCCAGCTTGAGGTGTCTTCCCCGTTTCCCAACTTCATCTTCAAGCTTCTGGATCGGCTTCTCCCTCCTCGCCCCCCTCTCATCCTGCTCCCCCGCTAGTTGCTCGATCTATGGCCCATTATGGAAGACCCGCGCAAGTCGTCGTCGTACTCGGTCATCCCGAGAATTCGCTACAACACCGTCGGTGGCGTCAACGGTCCCCTCGTCATCCTCGAAAATGTACGTCGTCATGCAAGGGTCCAGTCAGCTTGTGCCTTACCAGCTGGCAACAATAGGTCAAATTCCCGCGATACAACGAGATCGTGACGCTCACTCTTCCCGATGGCACTGAGCGATCAGGTCAGGTCCTGGAAGCTCGAGGTTCGTGCTGCCACTAAACAACCCCTGGAAGTAATGACTCGGGGCGTCCTGACAGTGATTACAGGCGACCGAGCTGTCGTTCAGGTACTTCCTCCAAACGCGATGTATTCCAACAGGGCAATTGACGAGTGTACCAGGTCTTCGAAGGCACTTCCGGTATCGATGTCAAGAAGGCAGGCAGCAATGCGAGCTATAATAAGAAGGTTAGACTGAGACGCAATAGACTAAGGTCAAGTTCACCGGCCAGAGCCTAAAGCTCGGTGTGTCTGAGGACATGCTTGGCCGTATCTTTGATGGATCTGGACGAGCTATCGACAAGGGTCCCAAGGTACTGGCGGAGGACTACCTCGACATCAATGGCAGTCCCATCAATCCTTACTCTCGTGTAAGGCATCCTGCAGGCTCTCCTGGTGTTCACTCTTGACTAACAACCCCAGGAATACCCCGAAGAGATGATCTCGACCGGTATCTCCGCCATCGACGTTATGAACTCGATTGCCCGAGGATAAAAGATCCCCATCTTCTCCGTATCCGGTCTGCCTTACATCGAAATCGCCGCCCAGATTTGCTGTCAGGCTGGTCTGGTCTAGAAGCAGGGTGTTACTAATAAGGGCGTATACGACGGTTACGAGGAGAACCTCTCTATTATCTTTGGCGCTATGGGTGTCAACTTCAAGACTGTATGTTTCTTCACTCGTGATTTCGAGGAGAATAGCAGCTTGGAGCGTGTTACTCTCTTCCTGAACCTCGCCAACGACCCTATGTAGGCGCTGTTGTCTATGATATTATGCAATCGAGACTAACCCTGCCTAGTATCGAGCGTATTATTACTCCCCGTCTTGCCCTTACTACTGCCGAATACTATGCCTACTAGCTCGAGAAGCATGTCCTGGTTATTCTTACCGACCTCTCTGCTTACTGCGATGCCCTTCGAGAAGTGTCGGCCGCCCGAGAAGAAGTGCCTGGCCGACGCGGTTTCCCTAGTTATATGTATACTGACTTGTCCACTATCTACAAACGAGCCGGTCGTGTCAAGGGCCGCAACGGATCTATCACCCAGATCCCCATTCTGACCATGCCCAATGACGATATTACTTACCCTATTCCCGATTTGACTGGCTATATTACTGAGGGTCAGTTGTTTGTAGACCGAGCTCTGGACAACTGCGGTATCTACCCTCCCATTAACGTGCTGCCTTTGCTGTCTCGTCTGATGAAGTCTGCTATTGGTGAGGGCATGACCCGCAAGGACCACGGTGATGTGTCGAACCAGCTGTACGCCAAGTACGCTATCGGTCGTGATGCCGCGGTCATGAAGGCTGTCGTCGGTGAGGAGGCTCTGTCGGCTGAGGATAAGCTGTCTCTGGAGTTCTTGGAGAAATTTGAGCGCCAGTTCATTAGCCAGGGCCAGTACGAATCGCGAACCATCTACGAGTCTCTTGATCTCGCGTGGATCCTCCTCCGAATCTACCCCAAGGAGTGGCTCAACCGTATTCCCGCCAAGATCCTCAACGAGTTCTACCAGCGAGCCGCCAAGGATGTGAAGGCCAAGGTCGGGGCTCGGGCGGAGACCGAGGCCTAGGGTCAGCAGCAGAACAAGGAAAACCTCATTGACGTCTGAGGGGCCAATTTGTTGGCGTTTCGATAGGGAATAGTAGAATGAGCGCGCAAGGCAGAGGTAGGACTCGTAAAGAGAGCAACTTGTTTTCAATGGATCGTTTACATGCTGGAGGACTCGTCTGGACGGAAACTGTAGCGCGCAAGAGTAGGTCTTGGGAGTGAACATAGGGAGCCGAGTTAATGCCATTCAATCAAACCCTAGGCCGATACTTCATCAAAGTTTCTGCAACGAGTTATCATGAGTGCTTGACTGACTTGGCTGACTTGACTGACTTGACTGTCATGGCTCCTCTGCATAGTCGGGACCAATGACGAAGTCGAGAATGTCTAAAGTGGGCCGGACGGTGCTAGAAATGCGAGTTGCGCACATTGTCGCCCATCTCTTCGTTCTGCAAGTCAAGCCAGACTGATATAAAAGCGAAAGTTAAGAAACCGGGAAAATCACTCAAATTTTCTGTTTCTTACTCTTCTGTATTTTCATACCAAGAGGAAATGGAGGAGGACCAGCGACAGAACTTTGAGATCCCCAAGGCCCATCGCATCCGTTCCTCAGGTACCCAGAAAGTTGCACTGCAGTTACCGGAAGGTCTACTCCTCTTTGGTATCACCATCTCTGACATCCTCACCCAGTTCTGTCCGGGAATCGAGACGCTTATGGGTAACGTGACCTACGGCGCATACTGTATTGTCGATCACACGGCGCGGGCTCTTGGCTGCGATCTGCTCGTCCATTTTGCTCACAACTGTCTCATCCCCGTCGGCGTGGCTATGATCAAGGTTCTCTACGTCTTGTCGATATCACCGTCGACGTGTCACATCTTCTCGTGTCCCTGGAACGCAACTTTGCCAGCGGCAACCTGAGTTGAAAGTACTGGTTTCTAGCTGTGGCCTAGCCAGCGCTGCCCACAATTCAATCCGCAATCCAATTTCATCCAATTCAAGCCAGCAATTCAATCCAATTCGGCCTACCCGCAAGGGAAGGCAATTCAATTCGGGGCTCACTGGGAATTGGATAGGATTGAGGTCACGCATGTCACGTGTAGTGAATTAGATAGTGGCTCAACCTGTGGCTCAACCTCTCAGCGCCTAGCCTAATTAGGCCCTTGTCCGTCAGTAACAACCACGCTGCGTCAAAGTTGACGCGTTTGCTGCTATTTTGCTGTTTTTTGCTATTGTTGTTTTACTGCTGCTTTTGGCCCCTTGCTGCCAACTTGCCTTCCTCCATCCTCCATCAATTGCCCTGATTGAAGCTATTCAGAGTCATCTTTATCCTTATCTTCATCATCGTCACAATGTCTTCGCCACCCTCTTCATCGCAGCAAACTGCCCGAGGCAGTTCTAACATCTTCCGTGATGTCTTTAAGCCACGCCGTTCCATTGAGGAACAGCTCGGTTTGAGCAGCGGAGCTTACCGGCCGCGTCTGGCCCGTCTCAAATACAGCTTGGACCCGCACAATGTGCTGGTCTACGCTTGTCGGCTCCCGAAAGCGCCAAGGGAACAGAAGCTCATCATTCTTGTCACGGGTGAAAGCTGCGCCGGCAAAGACTATTGCGCCGACATCTGGGTCTCTGTGTTCGCCACATACGCCCACAAAAGTCTCAGGGCACGTGCAGTCAGTATTATCAATGCGATCAAGCAAGAATACGCAGCGGCTACCGGTGCCGACCTGAACTGCCTGCTTTGGGATCGTGCCTACAAGGAGCAACACCGGCCAGCGTTGACACATTTTTCCAGGACCAGGTACGACACCGACCTCAGCTGCCAGAGGAGCATTTTCTAAATGTGTTATACGGTGCTGCAGATGTGGATGTGCTGCTAATCACCGGGATGAGAGACGAGGCGCCGGTCGCAACCTTGTCGCATTTGGTGCCAGACTGCAGACTGCTCGAGGTATGCGTCAAAGCTACCAAAGAAGGAGCCGCAGAAGCTGCTGGCGATGATGAATCCGGGCTGCCGGCGGCCTTTGTGACCGAATGTTGAGTCCGAAGGTGCGATATTGCTGCTGACGTGGCCCGCTGAGTAAATAAGCAGCCTTGAGTCCTCCCACGCCTGTCACAATGACCGCACAGCCAAAAAGTCTCTCCAGTGCTGTTGACGAATTCAAGGCTGCTTTTATCCACTGGATCGTCGAGTCGAACATCCCTTTGAGTGCCGTCCAGCATGACACCTTCCAACGCCTCCTACGGACCCCAAATCATATCATCAATGCCATCTTGCCATCATTCGACTGTGAAGCTTTGGGTCATGGATGACTTCAAGGCTAGTCAGAAGCTTATCCAACGCCAGCTTCGGGCTGCCAAGTCAGCTATCCACCTTAGCTTCGATGCGTGGACCTCCCCTAGCCAGCGGGCCCTCCTAGGGATCGTCAGTCACTTCATTGACTCGGCCTGCTTCCAAAGACACAAGCTGCTTGCGTTAAAGCGCATCGTTGGCCCTCATTCAGGTGCTAACATCGCTCCTTTGGTAATGGAGGTCATTAATACCTTTAATATCAAGAAAACCGGGTTCTTCACTTTAGATAACGCTATGGTTAACGATACATGCCTCGATTATCTCTTTTCTGACCACCTTCAACTTTTTCCAAGTCCCACCGGTCTTCACAGACGCCACAACGGTCCGATTACGCTGTTGGGGTCATATCATTAACCTTGCTGCCAAAGCCTTCCTTGAACCCTCAGAACAGTCTCGACTGACCGTACCCGATGACCAGGATGTCATACGGCTCAGTCCTGAGGAAAAGGATCGTTTAGCTAGCTGGTTAAAGAGCGGTCCTGTGGCCAAGCTGTCAGATGTGGTAACGTTCATCCGCCGGTCCCCTCAACTCCGGGAAGCATTTTCCTTTCAGGTTCAACACACAGCTGGTAACGCTAGCGCTGACTATTCAGCTGACAATAACCCCTTGTTCCAAGCCCACAATAATATACAGCTTTGCAATAACAATGACACACGATGGAATTCAACCTTCTATGTGATTGAGCTGGCCCTTCGTCTTAAGATGCCGTTGCAGTCATGGATTGGGATCAACTCGATGGAGAGGGCGGACCGGAGGCTGCCAACAGAGAAGAGACTGACTGAGGAAGACTGGGAGGTCTTGTGAGAGGTCCACAATCTTCTTCTTCCCTTTCAACAGAGACTATGCGGTTCCAATCCCGCCGCCCGGGCGATATTAGGTGGGTGATGCAGAGCCTCCCTCGCCTGACTTCCTGGTTCAGAGATCAACATGATCGCCGTTCCCCTGACTCCGCTACCGCTGATGAACCTCGACAACCACACCGTGTTAGCAAGCTGCCGGGCCATTTGGATGACTCTGAGGTTGAGTATTCGCCACAGCGATCACACGGTCACAGTCAAGCTGCCATATCAGCCAGACCACGCAATGATACGAGGGAATATCTACACCTTTGCTGCCATGTAGCCCTGAATCAGCTGGAGCGATATAAGGAGCTACTGGGCCAAACTCCGGTCTATTGGGCTGCTGCTATCCTTCACTAGAGGAGTTGAAGGCATGGTTTGGCAAGGCCCCTGAAAAGCTTGATAACCCAATCACCTTTTGGCAACGGCAAGAACAAGCTTTCCCTATGCTTACTCAAATGGCGATAGATATCCTCTCAATACCTTCAATGTCAGCAGAATGCGAGCGTGTATTTAGCCAACCCAAGCTTACAATGGGGCCGCAACGGTTGAGCATAGTTGACGAGACTTTAGAAGCCATTGAGTGTTCAAAATACTGGAGGGCTGACACGTGAGAATACACGTGATTCAATCAATATCAATTTTACCAATTCAATTCAAAAAACACCCATACAATTCAACTCGTGATGCCCTCAATTCAATCGACGAAAATCCTGATTGAAAATTGAATTGATAGCAGCGCTGGCGGAACTGGGTGGGTTCAGTCACCGACACTGGGTGCCGGTTCGTTCTTCCGTTCCGGCCTGACTCCGATTTCTCACCGGCCGGGGCAGCGTGGGCCTGCGATTGGGCGGGGGCGGGTCTGCTTCAAGACTGGATGCCCACTGTGAACAAAATGGTGACTGGGTTGGCACCGGGTTGCAACTTTCGCAGGGGTCATGTTTGCGACGCTAAACGCGCCCTACACAACATCATCCTTGAGGAGGCCAGCTAATACAAAGAGCCATCCGCGACAAGAGGAAAATCGGATCATTGCGGTTGGAGTGGGCAGGAAGGGATACGTCATAAAGGTGGCGAAATATCTCGCGGTTTGACTTTGCGCCCCATAAAAGAATAGAGTGGGGGATCACCTTTGCGCGTCAGCAGGTTCATAATATGACGCGCTGCCTACGAAAGGGAACGGGGCGAAATAAATGTCCATTCATGCAACATCATTATCTTTTTGTTAAGTCTCAAGTCCATAATGCCTCGGAAGTATCACGAGTCATCCCCTTCAAGGCCCCAAAACTCTGAAAATACCTATCTCAGGGCTCCTGACCACGAGCTATGTCCACATGAATCAATTTCCTATCTTTCCCACCTGGAACAGCTGACAGCCTGTTTCTCGGACACCTCGATTCGAAGTTTTGCCGGAGCTACTAGTGGAGTGGCCTCCAGTGTTATAATTTGTCCTCTCGATGTTGTGAAAACCAAACTACAAGGAAGAGGCGGACTCCAGTTGTGGACGCTCGACTCCGTCAGCACACGCCGTTCATTTCGAGAGAGAGGTCTAATTGGCACTGGGCGAGCAATATGGAATCAAGGGGGGTTGGCGGGCATGTACCAAGGATTGGGACCGACCATGCTGGCAAATCTTCCTAGGGGTGCAATATATTTCACGGTATATCACAAGGTCAATGATTCTTTAAAGGAGAGATATGGTAAGTCATCCCCACTATGTACTCTGTCCAAACAGTTGCGGGTAGTCCTAACACCAGGCCAAAGGGCAACAACGTATGTGGGCATCCTCAAGCGTGTCCGCAGTTGCTGGAGGTACCTGTTCTATATTATTGACGAATCCATTGTGGGTTATCAAGACCAGACTCATGTCTCAAAGTCCATCTATAAAAAAGGCCCCGAGAGAATATAAGTCCGCCATAGATGTCGCTCGGAAGATGTATTGCCGAGAAGGCGTAGCGTCATTCTATTTAGGACTAACTCCAGCTCTGCTTGGGGTTACGCACTTAGCTGTGCAGTTTCCATTGTATGAACAGTTCAAGAGGTGCTTGACTGGATCAGGGCTTGGGAACTGGCATGAGGACCAGGGATGGCTCCAAGTCCTAGGGATACTAACAGCTAGCTCCGCGAGCAAAGCGTGTGCGACTGCGGTCACATATCCACACGAAGTTATTCGAACAAGATTGCAAACCCAACGGAAAATATACCCCGTTGTACTAGTCGCTTCGGCAATGCAAAGCAATAACGGAGGCCCATCTGTGCGTGGGAGTGGTTCACGGAAAGGAAAGGGTTGCAATGGAGGGACATCACGGGAGAAGTTTCCCCATCTATACCGAGGTATTATAAGCACTCTCGCAAGAATTTTGCGGGAAGAAGGCTGGCGTGCCTTGTACTCTGGCATGGGTACTAGCTTGCTAGGAGCGATACCAGCCTCTGCTACGACAATGCTAGTGTATGAAATAGTGGTGCGACTGATCAAGAAGTCAAGGACGACAGGGAACAGAAAGCTCCAACTGCAGGGCACAATTGAATAAAATGGTAACCTATAACCCAAAAACAACCCAGTATAAACATATCTAATGACGGGAGCCGTCTATTGAAACCGCACCCTAAGGCACCATACTATACGGAGTATGAATGTGTGTACAAGGAATATGTGTACAATCACGAATGCTGGGTCGAGATAGAACAAAATTTCCCATCCGGGATTCCCGCTGCTCCCCCCACGTCTGACCTGGAGGGAGTCTCCCTTGGACTGATATGGCGCAAGTCTCGATGAACGCTTGAAGATTGTATTCTCTGGCGTTATCGCTGGTTTCGTGACCGCGTCTGGCAAACTCCTGACCCAGTGCACGGGTTTGCGAAATGGGTTGCGCTTGCAGGACTGATTTCATTTGTTTTGTGATGTTGAACGTATCGCTAAATGACTGCGCCATAAAACGCTACAAACTGTATGGCAGTTTAACCCATATGTATAGCCGTTTCTGGTCTCATATCCGTCCTGGTCACCATACTGGTGGATTGCTGTAAGCAACATCGCAGATCTCGCATTGCAAGCCAGAATGAGCTGCTTAGCATTTCGCACGCACGATTGGAATCACATACAGATGACCGGGGAGAAGGTCACTTGTTAGACAAGAAATTCTTTTGGTTTCCTATCTAAAGGAGGAGAATATAGAAGGAGAAGGTCAATCCATCCATTAAACGCCATTTTGTACAGTGTGATGCACTTAACGGCTCTGTTTCCCTTCAGTAATAGCGTCCAGATCGCCTCGAAATGTCGACCTAGATAGTGCTTTTTGTCACATACTAATAGTATTCATGACCTTGGCTACTGCTGATGGTCTTGGACTTGTTCTCATGGGTGATCTGATCCATCTTGCCACTATAGAGTCGCTGGCAGAAGGCGCACTATGGAACTGTAAGTAAAGTGGGATGAATGACACGGGGAGGTTATCCTTACCGAGTTCCAACATTGTCGTTGCTGTCCGTCTCGATCTGCTTGCTATCACCACTGGTCTCATTCTGGTGAGATTCCGTGGTTTGAAATGAAAATAATCATCTAGATCCAGTTGTTATATTATACCTAGTTAATCTTTCTCCTCCTTGTGATCCCCAACTTAATGAACATATAATTTAGCTTCCGCGCGAATTTCTATCTCTTTAGAATATTTTCGTTTAGTTCCCATCCGAGCCCTATTAGTTAGCTGAATCGAATTAACTAAAGTAATTGTAATTTATAATAGTTCTAAAGCTAGTATAGCTATAGCTAAAGATATTAAGGCTATAAGTTAGGCTATTTTTTAATAATAAAAATAATAACTTATTTAAATTTCTAAGTAGCTACTTTTAAATTTAATTTATTTAATAAGCTATTTAGTAGATAAATTCTTTTTAAAGTATACTCTTTTAGTATATATAATTTTATTTCTATATTTTACTATCTTTAAAATCTTAAAATTAAATAGTATTAATATATTATTACTAGATTATATTATTATTTTACTATAGTTAATATATAAATTAGATTTTTAAAATAGAAAGTAAATAGGCTTTAAAAAGAAAAAAAATACTATTAAAGCTATAGTATTTATAAATTTATTCTACTTAATAAGCTAATTTCTTATTAAAGTACTAAATAAGTTAGATAAAAGTATTAAGAATAATAAAAAGAGCTGCTATCTTATACTATTAAAATTATATATTTTAATATACTTATACTTCTTATTTAGTAAATAAAATATAAGCTTAATACTACTAACATATATAATAAGCAAGTACACAATACAAGCAAGTGCACAATTTTTCCTAACCTCTAAGATTCAAACCTCAATAAAACCACAATAATACAATCAATCAATTAAAACTAATCGCTATGCTCTTCCTCAGAGGTCTTAATTATAGTCTAACAGGTCCTTACATTATGACCGGCCTTTCCACAAGTTCCACAGCGCCTTTCCCTCGGTATCGCTGACCTCCCTCGACCACTACTTCTCAACGATTCAGCTGCTACCTGTGCATCAACGTCTCTCTGATCTATCTCACTCCTGCCCTCATCTAAAGTCATCTTCCCTCCTTTATATAGGCGGGTTTTCTTTGCTCTGCGCCGCTTGCTAAGAGTTTTATTTGCCTGTTGAAGGATCTGGTTCTCAGCTTTTAATAGAGCATTCTGATGCATTATTGCCTTTGTTCCCTTTGAAAGTAACTTAAGCGCCTTAAGAATTAATGCTAGAGAGCTGCTCTGATGCCTTCTCATTCGTCTTTCAAGATATTCAGACTGCAAACTAGCCTCAAGCACTATCTTTGGGGTCTTCGAGACCCAAGGGTCGGGGAGGCCGACCTCCTCTGCAGCCGGTGTTGGAGTCCGTAGCTGCACATCAAGCTTCGATATGACATTTTCTGGGTTTAGGGGAACAAGTCCAGCTCCTCGAAAACCTCCTTCAATATTACTCCTTGTCATAGCGGCTGCGTGGGCAGCGTAGAAGGCTGGGAAGAACTCGGTCTTCGAAACGTGGGTTATAGAGCATCTAATCAATTGCTCAATTGCTCGACCATAGGCTGTTTTAAGCGGCCCAAAGCACCCGACATCAAGAGGCTGAAGTAGGTGAGACGAATGAGGCGGCATACAAAGCATAATAATCTGATTCTCCTCACAATATTTCTCAAAGTCGACGGAATAGTGACTTTCATGCCCATCGAGGATTAGAAGACGATAGCGACCGATCAATCGATCCTTTGTATGCTGATCAAAATGCTTAAGCCACTCAAGACCCGTCTTATTGTCAGTCCAGCCATTTTGAGTCGTTGCAATAGCCCAATCGCCCGGGAGGTTGCTTTCTTGGTACCAGTTAGCGAGGTGATATTGGCCTGCAACCACGATAAATGGCTGGATCGCCCAGCCTTCTGCATTAATCGCCTGAATGACCGTGACCCATTCCCGGTTTCCAGGCTGAACTGATTTCGGGTTTCCACGCCTTTCTACGCCTATAACAACCATTCCGCTTGCGATTATGCCCATCATAAAGCCGGTCTCATCAAAGTTGTAGATATCGGCTAGGTCGATACCATATTTCGCGATTGTATTCTCCACAAGCCGGAACCAATTGCAAATAATAGTTGGATCTTCGCATTTAGCCCTCTAATAGTCATATTTACGAAAAAAACGCATCTTAAGCTCTGGTTGTCGCCTGACGAAGTTAGAAGCCCAGCGCTTGCCGACAGGTAACGCGTCGCAGTCGGCGAGCAATCGGTTGGCCATTTCTTCCACACCGCTCAGTCGCGGGGGAAACCCTCGCGAATCTAGGTCAAGAATATACTCAAGAAGAGTCTGTTCCTCTAGATCAGATAGTTTACGCGAATTGGGCATAGTATCGCGTCGCGAAGTAATGCCGGCGCGTCGGCGTAGTAGAGTATGGCGAGAGACCTTATAGATCTTTGAGGCGCGGTAGGGAGTTAATTGAGGGTCTTTCTGAAGGGCTTGAAGGGCAAGATTGATATTTGCCTCATTGCTTATTAACGACATAATGCGTAGTTGAAAAAATGGAGTTAAAAGAGGGAAGAGGGCGGTTAGAAGAAAAATTGTACACTTGCTTGTATTATGCACTTGCTTATTATGTACGTTAGTAATAAGAGTAAAAATATAATATAATAAATACTAAAAGTAATTAATAAAAAGATAAGAAGTAAAATAATAAATAAGAGAGTTAAAGAAATTTATATAAAATAATTAAATAGTATATTACTACTAAAGTAAATTAATAAAACTTAAATTTATAATAATCTCTAGACTTATAAATTTAAAAGTATTATTTAATTTATAGAAATATTATTACTTATAATTATTAGCTAAATAATAAAATTTAGTAGTAAAATTAGTCTTATAGGAGATTTTAAAAATATTATAATAGAAGATATCAGGATCTTAAATAGAGGATAAATAGATATTATACTAGTCGTAAAGCTTAGTAAATAAGTTCTCTCTCTTTATATTAAACTTCCAGGCCGGCTATACCCAGAATAGGTTATCCATATCGTACGGATTATATATTATATTAATAAGATCTGCGCGAGATTGAAAATAGCGAGTTTGTAAATGGCAGGATAATAGAAAATAAAACCACTACCAGAGAGGATAAGAGGGAAATCTTTGCAAGAGAAAGTGGGCATGGGCGTAGCAACTTTTGGCTGTGGCAGCGTCGATCCGCATTGCCTGGCTTAAATCCGGTTATCCCGCCACCCACTACTGCATTTCAACCAACGGGTGGGCGTTAAACCCGCCAGGGGGCAACCCATGACTCTAGACCCCTGTGCAAGTCATGTTACGAGCCCTGATACTGTGAGGCGTCTGATTGGGTGTATGTATGTTCTTGATTGCGTCAGGTCCTCGCTCTGAGTCCCAAGTAGTTAGAAGGATATTGCTGTAGCAGTCATACGCCATGTACACGCCCAGCTACCCAAATACACATCGTGACAAGTCAGTTGTGTTGGACTGACCCTCGGGTGCCGGACTAGGGGCCCGGATAAGACCGAATCCCTGATACATCAATATCTTGTCTTAGTCATGAGGGGGGTGTGAGATTGACCAAAAACCCCTCACCGGAAACAGGGCTCTGGAAGCAGGTTAGATCCTACAAGAACAGAGATCAATATCATCATCTTTAGGCTCCACTATCGTCTTGATCATTATTGCCCTAATTGACTTACCCGTACCGGATCCAACAAGTTGTTAGATAGTCATGTGTTGGATTGACCCCTCGTGTGGCGGCATAAGACCGAATTTGCATAAACCTCCGATACACCGATATCCTAGCCTTAGTCAGAGGACAAGAAAACCCCTCTCGAGAAAAGAGGGGACCGGGAGGCATCCCAGATGAAGAGAATCATGATCTTTTGGCTCCACTCTGTATTGAACGCTATCACCCTGATCGAATTGACTGTATCGGATCCAACAAGACGCACTTCCGGCTGAACTAAGCAAGAAGGGAGAATAACAGAAGAAGGCAGGCAATGATCAATAAAAATCATCAGTTTTGCTTTATAATCTACTATATTGACCCCTTAGTCACTTAAGATACACCCCGCATATCTGACGCAGTCACGACCGTTGTGGGGTACATCATTGCTCCTATGAAAAACGCTGGATCTGATACGGCCAATTCGATCAGGGACTTCAATAGAGGGTCAATCTGTGGGACCAAAGATGATGATTGTATTGATCTAGGATCCTTCCTGCCCCCTCTTTTCCTGTGAGGGGTTTTTAGGTCAATCTCACACCCTATGACTAAGACAGGATATTGAGGTATCAGAGGGTTGTTCTTATCCGGGCCTTATTCCGCCACCCGAGGGTCAATCCAACAAAAAAATATAAGGTTCCACTCCATGTACCAATACACGATAAGCTAAATAACTATTCTACCTGGTTCCTCCATTATGGTACTGATGCTAAACCGGGCTTCGGTTCCGAGCTGCGATTCTTCTTAGATCCCTAAAATACAATGTAGTATTCATATTGGGTATGACAAAGAATGCGAGGAATGAGTGATTGGTAGTCAGCTGGGGGAGAATTTCTTGAATAGATTACATGTGGGATCGGGATGGGCCTAGTAGATTGGATCATGTAACTGCACTTTGTAACATAGCCTGCTTCATTCAACATCTCCAGAATGAGTCGAAGCTGACACATACGATTTTGATGCATACTAAGGAGCAACAGTTTGATATATATATAATATGCACGTATATTTTAGGAAGCGGCAAGTGATGATGCAGACCAATGTCGAGACTAAGTGATTGTTTTGTCCCGAGTGGGTAGTACACCGGATAAATCTAGTCAATTAAAGAATATATCACAACATATGCAACCTGTTGGATAGCGTACGGCACATTCGATCCAGGGATTAATACTCAATAGGGTGTGGATCCTGAATCTGTTGATTGTCTTTTTCTAGGATGCCTCTGGCCCCCTCTTTTCTCGAGAGGGGTTTTATGTCATCTCACCCCCCCTTCTGACTAAGGTCAGGATATCGATCTATCAGAGGTTTCGTAATACAGGGTCACAATCCAACACAACCTAAGAGGAAGGCACTGCTCAAGACAGCCCTAGGCGTCGATACATGGAATGGAGCAGCGGCTAGGCTCCAAGTCAAATAGCACTAAATAAAGAGCAAGGCCCACGTCACGGCTTGGCAAAATGCTCGCACCACCATCGAGGCTTTGGTTCCGATCGGAGATGCAGTCAAGCCACGCTAAGCCTTTTACTTTGCTGCGACGGCCTCCATCCCACCACACCCTCCCAAACCTGGGAGTCACCAAGGAACATGTCCGTGCGCACAAGCGATGCTCCAGGAGCCCAGGCAGATTCGTCTGGGCTACTTCGCTGTCGTCTCAAGGTTGAAAAGAAGCCAGTATTGGGATGTCACTCAGGCTTCGCACTCCGGCTTTGGCCACGAGGTTCGGGGAGGCCAAATGAAACCCGAGCAAGCACATGGGCGGGCGAGTTCGTTCTTAGTGATCACCCTCACCCTCCTGGCCGCGCTCGGATCATTTGATACACGCCATGACACTCGAGGTTAGTGGGCACTGGGCACCTCGATATAGGTGTTGGTGGTCATAGTCCCGCTGCATTAGGGTGTGCGGATAGCGAAGCGCAAAACACCGGGGCCGCAGCAAGAGCCGCATGTCGATTGCGAACCACCATTTTGAAACCTAGATGCGAACCGGACGTTCCAGTCCACCTACTATGTACACTCTTTCTTGATAGTGGGTTAGTGTTTGGCTTTGTGCCGGGAACGTGTTGTTGAGGAGCTGAAGTTGGTCTGAGGGTCTACAGTTGGAGAATTTGGAGACCTGACTGCCATTCCCGGTCTATACCCTTGCGAGTGTGATGCAAAACGCGACTCCATTTTGCCACCCTTATGATGTCGTGGTTTCAATCTACGTTAGACAAGATCTGTGGATCGAAATCTCGCTGACCATCGAGTGATGGAATATCACCTAGGTGCCCGCTGAGCGCCAGAACCCTCTTCTAGTTTAAAGAATTGTCCAGACCAAAACGGCATCCAGATAACTAGTCTCCTGTGCAACCATCATCATTTGAGACCCTATTGAGCGATCGCGTTACCCTTGGGCAGAGCAACCAAATGTGGCGGTATATCTGCAGGACCTAAGCACGATGATTAAAGGTCAATTCTCTCTTTGACCCGTCCGCTGAATCGAACCATATCACGCAACGCCCCTGGTTGAGCACCAGTTTCAAACTCCAAATTCAATTTTACCACTTTGAAGGCTTGAGGCACTAGCCTTGGAGCCAGCAGCAACACGGCGCCAATAACCCTCTGCTGCTGTTTGAGACCAAAAACTGACTTTCACAAGGATCCTACGCTCCCGAGGGACCCCGTCATAGTCCCATCTGAACAGTTTCTCCAAACAGCCCCGGCGGGTGACTTATCATCCAAAGTAATCTGGGATACTCGTCTGCTTAGGCTGTGATATAACGCTGCCAACGTCTGTAGTGAAGAATGGAAACGGTTGTGCTGGGATACGAGCCGAGGGCACCGACACAACATTATTCGTCACCAACGAGACGCCACGTTTCACGATGATACCTATATTGTTTGAACCAGGTCCAAGTAGCCATGTCGGGTACTTTGGGTCAAGCGCAAGCCGGAGGCGCTGCTCCTTCTCGTTGCGGACGTGGCGTCCTGGGAAGGGCTCATACTAACAGACTTATGTGGCATGCAAAACCAAAACAGATGGATAATCCATGCGGTAGGTTGGGTGCAAATAAAAGCATGGCTGAAAGCGCGGTCCTGCCATCAGTATAGGCATAATTCTGGAGGCCAAGGCGAGCTCCGTTGGCGAGGCGGATTCCGCAGGGAATCGAAGGTGTAAGACGGCTACCTCCTATTGCCAAAGATGTCACTAAATACTGCGGCATCCATCAAATAAGGACGACAGGAGGCGTGTTGTGTACCCCAGGGCACCGATAACCACCAAATGTTCGATCCATAGCACGGAATGGTGGTAGTCTGGACGAGTCGAATAGCCTTTTGAACACATTGTGACGTCATAGTTGCATGGGCAGGGTGATTTGCCACACACATAAGAATGATTGCAACCCAGATTGCTGGTGAGGTTCGTCTTGCTCGCTCTGGCCCTACTAATTTGACTAACTGGGCACTGGTACTGTACCCCAATCCTTAAATGGGGGAGCTTGGACTTGTACAACACAAGTCAAGGCGCCAATCTTCCGCGAGCAGAATCTGACGCGTTACGTACAGCAAGGGCTTTCTCGAGGAAATACCTCGCCGGAAGTCAACTCTTGAACGTAATTGGCTTCCATTCCGTCAGCGGACAGCTATGGTCTAACATTCATCCAGGGAGAGAGGAGGACCTCATATTTCGAACATTTTGACGATACCATGCGAACTCTCTGCATTGCCACCACGCAGCCAAGGCAATTGATTTTCAACCAGACTGGTGTTCGTTCCAAGTTGCCTGTGGAACAGAGAGTGCTGCCTGTTCCAAGTTGTCGTCACATCACTGATGGTTACGGAGTGCACCACGAGGAATTAGGCGGCCACTCAATACAGCACGTCGCCCCCACGAAATTAGGTGGGCTGGAATTACTTGATGGACCAAGACAACGCCTCTGGGGAAGTCGAATGGGTGCTGGCTCCCGTATTGAAGCGCGTCCTCTCCTCGTTCTAGACCCGCCTATTCCGGGCTATCTACGTCAGTGCCGCCAGTACGTTCAACAAAAACTAGAACTACCACTGCAGAGTTCCTCATAGAATCCTCGTCCATTTTATGCGACCCTCCTCTTAAAAAGCCAGACCTCAATACTACAGCGATTATCTCTTCAAGGAGCCCCGAATTGTGTGTGTGTATGGTTTGGAATAGGAATACTTGCGGGTGCTACATTACGTCAAGCTCCCTTGGTTTCCAGTCTCCTCTTCTCTGGCTAGCTCACAGCATTTGACTTGCTCTCTTCGAACCGCGCATGATAGACATGCATACTATGCCCCGTCCGCAGCTCCTGTCCCTCGCAGCTACGGCCACCGGGAGTGCAACGACCTGCACCCATCTTTCACAACGCCGCCAGCTCAGCACGCCAGCCGCATCCTGCTTAACTGCCGTTGGGAGGCTAGGACGGCTGCTTGATGGAAGCCTCCAACTGACCAATATATTGGGAACTGGGGCCTATGGCGTCGTCTATTCAGCTGTCGATATTAATACTAAAGTTCGCTATGCGGTTAAGTGCCTAAGCAAGCTTACTGTCAATGGAACTCCACTGGAACACAGCCAAGCCGCCTACCAACAGCGGGAAATTCGGCTCCACTACCTAGCTTCCGCACACCCTAATGTTATATCTATATTCAATATTGTGGACAACCCCGACTGCGTCTATCTCATTCTTGAGTACTGTCCTGAAGGCGACCTCTTCTTAAATATCACAGAGCGCGGCCAGTACGTTAGCAATGATGAGCTGTCTAAGAAAGTTTTCCTCCAAATCCTAGATGCTGTTGAATACTGTCACAGTCTTCAAATCTACCACCGGGACCTCAAGCCGGAAAACATCCTAGTTACAAACCATGGAGATACTGTCAAGCTATGTGACTTTGGACTCGCTACTTCAGATCCGCAATCTCACGACTTCGGGTGTGGATCGAGATTTTATATGAGTCCAGGTACGTTTTATAGTCCCTATCCCCTTCCCTTGGCCCTCTTACAATGACTAACCATTTCCTTCTATCCTTCATTAGAATCTCTAGAACCCGCCACAGGCCAGCACTACTATATGTGCGCACCCAGTGATGTCTGGAGCCTTGGGGTCATCCTCGTCAACTTGACATGCGGATGCAACCCTTGGGGGCTGGCCTCCATCCAAGATTCAGCCTACCGGGAGTATGGCCGATCAAAGGGCTTTCTGAAGTCGATATTGCCGTTGTCTGATGATTTGAACGACATATTGCGATGCACCTTTAAGCCCACTCCTGAACACAGGGTGACGCTACCCGAGCTCCGTACCAGGGTCATGGCTTGCTCCAGGTTCACTGTGCCAGCAGTGTCCGTGATCATCCCTCCGAAGGATGTATGTCTCGCATAGGGAGCCGAGGACTCGCTACGACGAGCAACGCTCCTACCGGGTATGTTTTGATTGATTCAATACGGGCTATGCTAACCACAGTGGCATAACAGAAGCACTAGGATTCGCTCCGTTACCGACGGCGCTTCGACCGCATCGATCACGGCAAGGTCCGATGTGCCACATTCCCATCTCCATGTCCGTTCGACGAGAATGGTCAGGGCCCGTGAAGATGAAGAGGAGAATACTAAACCGGGCGACATGAAGGAAGGAACAGGCATAGACAAGGGTCTCGACACGGCAGCGGATGTCACTTCGCCGGAGGACCACGCCATCACTACCGACAATGAAGATGCTCCAGCTGGCCGAACAGCCCACCAGCCAGCCCAAAGACCAAACTCCAACAAAGTGCCAGTCGGTCAAGCAGCCAGAAGCAAGTGGAATACTGGTACATCGCAACGAAAGTTATGGGGAACCGAAGCACAGATACCTCCCCCAAAGAGGGAGCGAAGGATACAAAGGATAAATCATCTTAATAGCGTGATAGTCAATCACTAGCATTTCGCCATCGGACTTACAAGTTTCGTCATAAACTGCATGCACCAAAGCCTGGGCGCCGTGCGACGCCCAGAGCATCAATCTAGCCTCACTTGGTTTGGTCCTACAACTGATAATATAACGAATCAGGCCACTCTATGTCAGCCGGCATCTGCCGACAGATTAGGTAACTACTGGTCGGCAATGGTGATGTGCTTAGGCGCGTCTTGCCCCCGTCTTGTGCTTCTTCCGCTTCTTCTGCATTTAGCGTATCTTGCGCATCTTCCCTGCGCATCTTCCGCTTCTTCTGCCCTCCACAATGTGTCGTCTTGCTAGAGGACATTGATGCCGCCGGTGCGGCACATTCTCGTGATGCTGGTGGTGAGAATCCCCGTGAAAGGGGAAACCCGCGGACACGAAGTCAGTGACGCTGTCGGGACTGCTCAATGCTATCGACGCTGTGGCGTCCCAAGAGGGTCGGCTGCTCATCATGACAACGAACCATATCGAGAAATTAGATGGCGCGCTCATTCGACCTGGACGTATTGGCACGCAGGTCAAGTTCCAACTTGTCGACAGGGACTTGGCCACTCAAATATACCACTTCGTGCTTGAGCAGCCACATGCTGGAGAGAATAATGGAGTACGCCAAGTATAACGGCCAATCCACCCTCTTTTCCACGTCAACGTTGCAAATACCAGTCCCGTTGCCATTGCGATGATGATCTGGGCTATGGAAAGGATAGTGAACAGGCGTTTGTGTCGATTATACAGTGCTTGAGAGTCAGAAACCTTCTGATAAACAGCACAATATTGACCAGGCCCGCCAGGTTGACAACGGTACTTGAGAATAATGTCGCATGTACCATAACGGACTGCCAGTGAGTAAGTGAGTGCATGGTAATGAGAACAAGGCACATGAGTCGTGTTGTTGACATAAAAGAGTTGCCCGAGGTCGTTCCAGTGATAGCTGGAGTATTTATTCTCACACAGGCCCACGCGTCCCAAGGACTGACGCCAACCCCTTTCAGCATCACAGCTCTACGCAGGTTCCACGTAACCCTGCAGCATGGATTAAGTCGGCGCATAAACGAGGTATACTTTCAGGGGAGTGTGGGGGGTGTTGCTGGAAGGCGGTGGGTAATGAAGACTGCAACTCATCACGAGCAGCCTGGTGGATCTGGATATGCATTGATTGAATGGCCACGACCATATCCTGTAATAGGACCGAAGGATCACAGGATCAGCCCCCTGAGAAGGTTTGTGACGATGACATGTTTTATATCTTAAGATGAGCGAGTTCCCTAAAGTGACTGATCCCCAACGCTCCGATCTTTCACCTCGGTCCTGCTGACTTGGGGGAAAAGCGAATCAATAGCTGAATCCCCACGCCCCACGGGCGTTTAAGCTGACATCTAGAGCCGGTATCATGGGCCGCGCCTCCACGAGAATAGGCAAGGCAGACTTAACAATTAGGGTTATGGATCTACACGCCATGGCACGTCGTGACTGAGGAGACGCGGCAGGAGCGCGTCGGTGTGATCATGCTAAGCGAGGGATGGCAGTCACAGGAATCAAAGGACATGGGTCCCATTTTCAGCTCGCATCAGCGGCTCAGACTAGAAAGAGGTTGGTGAGCTGGTATTCAATGATGCATCCACAGTTGTGAGGCAAGCTTGGTTGTCCATGGAGCGTCATCAAGTACCACCAACGGAGTCCTTCGAAGCCCCCCCCACCATGCCATATTCATACCCCTTCCACATGCAATAAATGCTCCCTTGTAGGTGCCAAGCCAGGTTGAGACGGCTTCCTTCAGGCCCCTCCTCTCCGCCTCTATGTGACCGGTATTCCATGAGACTTGCGGCCGTATCCATACGAGCTGCTGTTGCTAGACTCAGGGGATTTCCTTGTTGGGGGCTACCCGACCCAAGAAAACATAAATTAACACCTCTTCCACGTTGCCTCCGCTCATCTCATCCTTCTGCCTCCCAAGAGACTCCCATATCTTGTACCTGCAATAATGTCCTCTCCTAAACTTGGCCATGGCCCCCTATCGGGCCGATGAATGTAAGCCACTTCCGCGAAGTGAGGCGGAGGAGACACCCAATCCAATCCCCGAATGTACTCCTCTCAAGGAGTGTTGCAGTTGATCAATTCACTGGTGCGATCCAGATCGCTTCGCACGACTGCCGTCGGGATGCCTGATGTTGGACCGGACAATCTCCACACGGCTTGTTTCAAAGGACGTGTCATCCTGGCCGTCAATCCACGAACGCCCGTCGTGGATTGATCATTGGTCTTGGGCAGCAGTCTGGACTAATAGTCTAAATGGTCTGGACTATTAGGAGCGCTGAGTTGAGTTGAATAGGATCACGAAGGGTTGTTATCACGCGAAAACGAATACGTTGACTGTCTGGTCCTCTAAACTCAGCGACGTTGGCGATTACATTTGCGACACATGGTAAGAACTGATTTCTTTAGCCCAAAAATTTCCAAAACTTTAAAAACCAAAGGAAACGTTGCCCATGATTGGCGGACGCATTATCCCTTCTGGACATGGCATCATCACTGGAACCAGCTCTTTTGCTCCTCCTTTCTTGCAATGTGCGCGCTACCCACTCTTCCACATTCTCCAGAGCGCAGCTGGGAGAGTCCCTGTACCGTATGAGGAAGGTGCGGTGTAATGTGAAGAACCGTGTCTAAACCAAGTCGACGATTTCCTCATTTGGCTGGATGACTTGCCACAACCAATCGCATGTCGTCTGAGCTCCCTGTCTCTCTTCGCTTTGTTCATGAACTTTGCGCCTGATGATGACATCAGGTGCTGCGCTGGTCGTCCTCTGGGAGATAACCGGGAAGAGCAGGTCCTTCGTCAATGTCTTGGGACGTGAACTCGTTTGTCGGCGAGGTACTGCTGTGGCTGAGATGAAGACGGTTATTCTCCGTCTGCTCCCCGCGAAGCGCCATAGGCCCCTATGTGCTATCAGCGCAGTTCAATTGGCATCCTTCAACAAAGTGGCCCACACACTCAGGTGTGGGCTGAGGACTGTTATGCTCCATTTAGCATGAGGGGAGAACATTGCGTGACATTTTATCAGCGACGGATTAACTTAGATTGAAGTCTGTGCTCGATCAAGGACGAACTCTCGCGGGGATCAGACCCTAATATGTACTAGTACTTATCAAGGTCTCTCCAGTGTGGAGGACTCGGAGTACAGTGACGGCTGCGATGCTGCAAGCTGCCCCCCTTCGTCGCGTTTTAGTCCGTGGCCTCTAGCACCTCGTCGCCCACCAACTAACTGAATTGCACCAGCAGGGCCCCTACGTCATGCCATGCTCTTTATGTTCCCTACCCTTCCCTTAGGAAGAGAGTGCTTACCTCTCCCCCTCTCATCCCCCAAAGCCAAAAGCCATCTTCTTCACTTGCTCCTCGCACTTCCCATCAGACTTGTTAGCTCTAGCTCTACCTGGTCTCACTTCAACAAGATCCCCAAACATCATACGCTACCGACACATTAACGCGTAACAACCACCGAACCTCTACAGAACCAGCCAAACCCGAATCACACGAGATCAAGAACCACTCCTCTACAGAATCTAACATGATGCCCTCCGACTTTTCTCCATCCGCCTCCAACCCGTACGGGGTTGGACCTGAAGAGTCTTTTCCGGCACAGTTTGCCTCCGTGAACATGGATGACGGGTGCTTCGACGAGAACACTGGCTTGCTCTGCGAGCCGACTCCTGGCGCCTCTGAGGCTTCTCCTGGCCATAATGACCTTGGGTGGGAGCAGTTGCGGTTAGCTGATCAGCAAAGTCTTGCCCGTGCAGTTGCCATCCCAGCCCAGCAAGACGTCCCACCAGGACAACTCAACACTATGCCGCACATCTCTAGATACGATTGCAATGCCAATATATTTAACTATTCGACCTGGCCGAACCCGATTGCGTCCCCTGCCACTGAGCAAGTCTTGCCGACGGCCTCTATAGCTTCTCACGGCTGGCCTCAAGTCAGGACGACTGAAAGAGGGTATCGAAGACGCAACCCGCATTCTGACCAACATTCGCCCCCCCAATTCACGAAGCTAGGCCTTGCTCCCAAAGGCAGAGTAAGTACACCCCCGCGACGTGATTCAGAACACCCCGAGAGCCACCATAACAACAATGGCGGGGGCAATAATGGCGGCAAGAAATAAGACGATAACAAGATAAGCAACCAGAATGACAAGACGAAAGAGAAAAAGACAGGTTCTGCGGCGCTATTGCTAAACCATGACGATCAGCAGCTTAGGCGGATTCAACATCGAAACCGAATCGCATCCAACAAGTTTCGAAACAAGAAAAGAGAGGATGCATTGATCCTCCAGGCTAGAGTGGAAGAACTAGAGCAACTCAATAGCAACTTGGTGAATATCAAGGCCGACCTTATCCAGCAGATCCAGTACTGCAAGATGCTGCTCCTACAACACGCCGAGTGCCAATGCGTGTTAATCCAGAACTACATTGCCATGGAAGCCAAGCGCTACACCCGAGATATTCAGGAGAACCCGTCTTAGCAATTTGTCTGCCCGACTTGAACTTGGCATATGAACATAAAAGGATGAAACGAGGTCACGAAGCACATGAAGGTTATATAGATGCGAGAGTGAGATTATTACAACTGCTGCACAGTAACACTCACACTCCAGAAAAAGGACAAGGCGTTAAGGTAGAAGGGTAGTAATGAGGCTCTGGAGATTACTAGGTCAAGGCAGTTTTGCAATTCATGACCAAGACAGTCCTTAACACAGTTAAGCACGATTCTCAGTTTCGTTTAAGCTCGCCCGAACCTCGCCAACACGGGAATCATCTCCAATCGTGTGGGCTAACGTGGTAGGGGTGCGGTGGCTGTTGTTCTGACACCCACACCCACGCTACCTACTCTGTCGGAGTATGGTCCATCTCCGATACTCAAGTCACTGTCTGCGCCCCTGGGCATGGACTGCCACCGTAGAGCCTCATTACTACCCTTCCACTTTGACGCCTTGCCCTTTCCGGAGTGGGAGTGTTATTATGTAGTAGTTGTAATAATCTCACCCTCGCATCCGTGTAACCTTCATGTGCTTCGTCGCCTCGTTTCATCCTTTTATGTTCATATGCCAAGTTCAAGTCGGGGACGGAGAAGCCAATCAAGTGCGGCAATGCGCGATCGCATAATTTGATTACGTCTAAGCCTCGGGCCAAGACCTGCGTGGATGCCTGGCTCACCCGGCCCCGCTGGGTCACGCGATTGGCTGTGGCACAAGAGCAAACGGGGGGGTGATTAGATTGGGAAACGTTCGGTGGCGATCGAGAGGGGAGGCGGAGAGTCGAGAGGCTGCACCTATTACAGCCAAAGAGGGGTAAAGTTAGCCAGTCGTCACCTACCAACGATGACGTGATGTTGCGTTTGTTGGTCCCTGAAACCTCTCAAACCAGGTCAAAAGCCCCGTACGTCATTCGCCTCATCTGCTCCACAGATGGCCTCCGACGGCCAATCATTGGGCCAGGTTGTCATCGTGCAGCAAGATGAGTGAATGAAGCATGTTTTTTATACCTGACACTTTGCTTCCATGTCCACCTCTACAAAACGCCTCGCAGTCACTGACAGTCGACACCCAATTTTCAGTACAGGGACTCTACTCGATTTCATCTGTGCCCTCTTCACCTTTTCAAGATTGACTTCCACAATTCCTTATTGTCATCATCTTTGGCTTTGCAAACACCATCTCTTGAGCTCACGACCATCGTCGACCCCGACTACAGATTATGAATAACCACTGCTCGATTCAATTCTGACGGCCTCTCAAGTCTCAACCCAGTTCGATATTGATATCACCCACCTGCGTCGTCTCGACTCGCATCGCACCAATGGTTCTCAAGCCAATTGACCCAATCATGGGTCTTGCTAGCCCTCCACAAAAGGTATGACAAGCCTTCACTCACCATGCTACCCGTCCCTCGTCCACACGATATCTAACGCCATCATACAGACGATACGGTCGCATCAGCAGAACCAAGAACGCGCCTTCATCGCCGCCTCAAGGCGAGGCGACCGCGGCATCGAGGCTCGCCTCCAATCAGCACGTCGGGCCAGCGAGGTTCACAAACTGCGAACCGGCAAGGGCCTTTGGGTGACCAGGGACATCGTCCTGAAGGAAGAGATGTACGAGGAGGTGGATGATATGTTCCCGCGGTCCTATCAGCTCCGAGGACCACGCCGACCGTCCTTGTCCGTCGAAGAGGGCTCGCCAAAGAGCCCGGCGACGACGGCTGAGTTGGCATCAGGCCAAGACCAGCAATTGCACGAGAACGAGGTGAACCGGGAATTTGCCCAATACTTCCCCGAGGTTGACCAGATCCTCTCCCAACCGTGGTCAACTCAGAGTATCTTGATGGCCTCGCCGACTCAGCGTAACCGGTTCCAGGAACTTACGAGGAAGGGATTTGAATCATCAGCTCAAGACATTGACTACACGCAAGGCGCTGTACTTGACGCCCGGAGTCGCTCACTTCCAGAGTCCTCGCCTCCTGAGCTAAGGATGGATGTCGACCTTACGCCGCCATCACTCGCTACCGAATCTGGATCGTATCCGGCGACACCTCGATCGCAGGCGGCTTCGGTTTTCAAGCAGACGACGCCTATCGATTTGTGTCTGGATTGCAACTGCAATTATGGCGAGCCCGCATTTGTCTGCAACCTGCCACCCGAGGCGAATGTGCTACTGGCAGACAGCGATGTGGTTGATCCTGCCCTGTACGACCAGCAGTGGTTGTATGGCACCTTGCCGTCCGATCCCTACGGGGTGTCTGAGCTTCTTGATATAGACGTGGAGGACGATGTATTCAACGAGATCCACGACGACAGCCTGAATCGGATGAGTTGGGATCAGCCTTCTCAACCGAAGACATCCACTTTATGCACATCTCAGTGAAATTGAGGTTTCGACATCTTCAGACCTTGGGCCTGGTAGCTAAGGCCCGGTAAGTTCTAGCGTTCTCTGCCATATCCACTTGTTGAACCAGTAACAGTGAAAGAAGGCGCTTGAAAGACGCTGTGCATTTGTTCGATCAAATATCAATATTTCCTCATGCGCCACGCCCGAGACATGATGCACCATCAGTTAATAATATGTATAGCCGTCAACTGATTGTTCTTCTCGGCCAATTTCTTTGGCCGACTCTCTTGCTACTCAACAAGTCTATCATCTTCTTTTGAAGACCTTTTATGACACCGACGTCCTCTTCTTCCACTACAGTTCTGACTCAAACCCCTGTCCGGCAGTTTGCGTCACTGGCACAGCACAGCACAGCACAGATTCCTCGACGTGCTCACCTCACACAGCCGGCTTCAGACAGCTGGTCTTGCGTCTGCAGCTAACATCCTCTCGGCAACCATGGCCGCCGGATGGATTGAGCCGATTTTTGCAAGCAGGAGGCGCGCATGAGCTACTACGGACATTTTGATGCGTGACGGAGGAGGACCAGGAGCACCGGTCCGTTTGATGCCGAACTCGGACATATCGAACTCGGGCTCGATCGGCGGCAAGGTGTAATCTCCCAGCCGCAAGTAGACGAGGTCCATGGGAGAACCGCTGTCCGACATGCCCAGCCCATACATCCCCGATGCGCAGACGAGGTATGGAATCAGTGCAGACACGCGCCGCAGAGTGAAAAGGTCGTCGTAGGATTGAGCGAGCGCCAGAATGGATTGTGCCGCCTGGGCACATATTTTGTGAGGCTGAATGTCGGAGTGGTTCCAAGCGAGGCTGACGAAGGGCCGGAAGGCACAGAGAACACAGAAGTGATAGAACATACTTTATTTCATGAGACCTTGGCCATTGTACTAGAGGTAGGCTGGCACACTTACTGCACGAATAATTTGAACGGCGTTCTGCTGCCTTCGCGGCTGACCAGAGCAAAGAATCCCTCATACCAATCGAGACACTTAGCGTAGACCGCTACAACGTCATCCATGGCAGTTTCGGGCACCAACCGAGCTGAAGCAACAAGGTTGTAGGTAACCTCGGCGAGCTGAAATACCTTTGCCGTGATGATTGCGAGACCTGGGTTGGTTGAGTAATTAGTTTAGTGACCTGGGGGGCAGTCCTTTCCACCAACGCACACAAACCACACTTCGACAACGAGCGGCAGCACTTACTTGATTCGGTACTGGCGTCTGCTTGGCCGTGGCCTGTGCTGCTTAGAACCGGATTGTCGAGGATCAAGGCAGCATCCTGAAGTGCATAGGTCGGCGCGTTGAAGGCTAGCCCTGTTGTTAACTGCAGTATGCTATAGTTGGTCAATACATCGTCAGTGAGCAAGGGCACCATAGTGCTGTGAGAGCGTACCGAACTAAGGACACGGCACCGCAGTAGGTAACAGCACATGCCCTGGAGTATTGTGGCTCATCCTTGCCCGCCGAAGACGACTGCTGGCGAATCTTCGAGATGCGATCTATGCAGGCCTCGGCAAGTTCGTGAGCTTTGGCCTCTTGTCCGCAACGGGTTTGATAGAATGCCAACATTCCGAGTGCCTGGATGTCGGGCAGGCTGTCCAGTGGCTCATTTGCCTGCAGTAATGTCTCGGTTTCGTTGAGGAATAGTTTGCTTCCAAAACATCCGGACGGGAGAAGGCTGAAGTCGTCGTCATTTTCGTTGATAAGTCGACTGGCCAATGAGAGGATGGCGTGGACCAAGGCTGACGAACAGAACTGAGATGAGCCGTTTTGATAGTCTTGCAGAAACTGGTCTTTGCAGAGGAGACTGAATGGCAGGTAGTCCCAGGTTAAAACCGAGTCGAACAGATGTCGAATGTGAGCCCTTGTCCACCCCGTCCTTGTCCACGTATCCGTCTGCGAGTCAGAGGCATAGAGGTCAAGTGGAAGTGGCGGCAGAGATAGGATGGTTGATTGATCTGGGACTCCAGCAGATGCTTTGGATTCGCTGGTGCTAGGATGACACAGTCTTCAAGAGTGCAGTTGTTCGAAACAGGGCGAACTAGCCAATTCGCGGGGTGAAACGCCTTTGGATGAAGAGCCTAATCGACTCGATAGATCATCTTCGCCACGCGGTGAGTAGTCGTCTTGTGCGCCGTTGGAATCCACTGAGCCATGAAGTGCGGGCTGTAGCCTATTATTAATACCGTGGAGCGAGGCGATGGACTCGAGGAGGTCACCACGGCCATCGTTGCTCTTCTTCAATCTCCCGATCTTGCCGCGCAATTCATTCTTGGATTCCCATCGGCCGCGGATGTATTCGCACGGTTCGTCCGCGTCGTCGCATCGCAAGCAAGGGGACTGTCCGTCGCACTAGAAGAAGAAGACGAAGAAGAAGACATCAGTACGTAGGCTGCTTTGGAGGGAGTAGAAGGGAGAGGTGAAGCTATCAACATGGGAGCAGGGATGGTATGGATCAAACCTCGGCTCGTTTCTTGCGGCAGCGCTGACATGCCCTCTGGATCTTCCCTTGGGGCATGTCTCGCTATTGCTAAGGAGGGAGGTGGGTGGGTAGATAGTAGTTAGTGAAGTGAACCCAGTAATAAGGCGCACAACTTAGTATAGAGGCCGCTGATCCAAAGATGGCGTCAGCGATTTCTGGGGTCAAAGGTGTACGAGTTGAAGCTGGGCGAGGCTTTTGCGCGCTGTGATGATGGAGGTACTCGTACGGAGGTACTCTTGGACCGAGAACCGACAAGCACCATGCTGACGTCAAGTTCAAACTTGTGAGGCTTTTAATTGGCTAACACGCGACTTGTGGGCCGTTTATTGCGTCATAGATATTGCGTCGACCCCACGCGACCCCCCACGTCATCCTTGCACTACCCTACAGGCTCATCAAGCTTAGTTGGAGAGATCCATCATCCATTGAATGACTCTAGACTCGAATCCATCATGGCTGGAGATTCTTGGGCCTACCTTCTTTCCAGCATGTAGCGACCGGAATTGTTTCCTCAATTCATGTTCTGTGCCTCGGTTGTTTTGTTTGAATTGCTTATTTCATCTATCCCTGAAACTTATGGCCAATCTACAGTATGCTTGTATTCAATCTCAAATTGAATCAGTATGACAGATTTATGACATCATGAATGTTCCAAGGTCATAAGCAAGATATGCCCATGGAGACATTTTGGGCAACGTCAACATCACACGATACCACGCCATTCAGCTTTTCACCATAGCTGCGCTCATCTGCCAAAATGACTCGAGGAGAGGGCTCCCAGTCTAAGGTCCACCACAAGGGCAAGCTCGATGACTACATCGTATTCGTCGACGATGTCGAAACCTACAAGAAGTGGCAAAACGACAAGAGCATCCCTCTGCCTCACTTCATCTCCCCCTTCACGGTCTTCCTGACTCACAAGTAAGCCGTTTTCTGCATGCCTACCCCATTCAAGCCATCTCCCCGAACCAACAAGATCTCGACTGCGGGTACTCTATATGGCCGTTGTTTACCGGGAAAGGAGTTGCTGGCTGATGGTGCTGCTGCGACGGTACCACTCACCTAGTCACAGGCGTACAATGGTCCGCGATGCAGGCACAGTCGGCTAACAAGTATTGCACAGGCAAGGTGCGCAGGGTCCATACGATGCCGCCCCTAAAGGCACTCTAGCATCCGAGTTCGGGACCGAGGACTCGGATGAGTCAATCAAGCAGATATTGATGGAAGGCACCATCCAGACCGTGGAGGTAAGTTGACCAGCTAAAGTGCAACACGCATTCACGGCACCTATCTAACTTAAACGCTTGTGCAGATGCCCGGCCGGCAAGGCTCTACAAACGACTCAATGAGCTCAATGAAAGCTCATTAGGGCACTAGTGGACAGGCAAAGCTAGGAAGGGCAACAGAGGCAGGGTCGCGCATCATTCATTAATGATGATTGACTTCTTGGCGAATGATTGATAATGATCACTATCAATCATTTCAATGACGCTCTGCCTTACATAATGATCATTGCATTGGGAGGACGACAATGAAACGACGATTGGAAGTCAGGCAATATGTCATGTTCCCGATATCCACATCTGACCAGTCTCAAACACCCGAGAGAAACAGATGCGTTGGTGCTAAGAAAGAGGGGACTCGGAGGGGGAGGAGATTGCACACTACGCTACCTTGTGATCCATGATCCTAGCTTATCACCAAAAAGCGTAATTTAACTGTTGCTGTTTTCCATTGTGCAACTAACCATCTCTTTGCTTGATGAGCTAGCTGCACCCGAAGCAATCGTCCCGCCTTCGCCAGCCAGTTCACGTAGGACTGTAAGAATAGAAGCCACCAAGTGTGAAAGATTTCGGGTCGCTGCCGCTATTAAACTAAATGCAGACAGCTATCCCTCCCCAACGAATCTCCTAACAATATCCACCAACCTCTTTCTCGTCCTCGTCCCACTAAAGACCTCTCCAAGATCTAAATCTTGAAACCACAGCACATCCAGCCCGTCACCTTTCCATACTCCATTTACCCAATTTCTAGTCTCCAGAGACCCGTCATTTGCGCCTGTCAGATACGCCCCAATTGCTTTCGTGCCTACAATCACGTCTCTGCCGGCTAGCCCAACAGCCACGCGATGGTCCTAGATGTCTTCCTTCCACAAGGCATTATCAGCCCATATGAAACGTCGGAATAACGTATCCACCCCATACCAGCCGTGCTAACCTCGGCAGGTTTAAGCTTGCGTCTTCAATTAAGGAAGATGGTGGTAGCAATGGAACAAAGCGGATTGGGGCTGGAGCTGGATAGGCCCAGACTGCGAGGTGCTAGGTCTATTTGTTAAGGCTATGTTGGATGCACCACCGTTGGATGGCCGTGCGACTTAAGATACGTGCACGTCTCTCATCGGGCTCATAGCAGTGACAGGCAGTTATCCTTCAACACAAAACCTCCTAACAATATTCACCAACCTCCTTCTCATCCTTCTCGTGTCAAAAACTTGTCCATGATCTAAATCTTGAAACCATAGCACATCCAACCCATTACCCCTCCATATTCCATCTTCCCAGTGACTAGTTTCCAAAATCCAATCATCTGCGCCTGTCAGATACGCCCCAATTGCTTTCGTGTTGACTACTATGTCGCTGCTAGCTAGCATAACAGTCACGCGATGGCCCTGGATGTCTTCCTTCCACAAGATATTATCAGCCCAGAAGAAGCGGCGGAATAACGTATGCGAGACGCCCATGTCCTTGGAGCCGAAGTAGGAGAGCAGGTGTTCATTAGCCTGGGTTGGCTTCCGACAGATCTAAGTGTTGAGGAGGTTAGTTGGGATTGTTAATAAGGATGTAGGGAAGACTTTACAAAGTTGTATGCTACATCAGGGAGATGTAGCAGGAAAGACACCGGATCAACAAACACAATCGGTCCAATCTTTTGCGCAATCTGTGGTGTGTGAAGGAGATGCGCAGCAACCACGCTTCCATACCTTCATATGGCAAAAATTAGTACAGGGCAATAAGCAGGCTTAAATCGAGAGTAAGCAAGAGGGGCACTTACGAGTGTGATACGAGTACAATCCTACTCCACCCATGTGCCTTTAATATACGATTAATCTCCTCGCACATCTCATCTTTCAACAGTGCCTCAGCTGTAATCCTGGAGCTTATAGGCATGATCTCTATGGCAATGATCCCTACCTGTCCGTCCGACGGATCCTTAGCGTCCGCGGCACTAAGATCGCCCAAGAAATTGATATATGGGTAGAGTCCAATGCCGATACCGTGGATGAACAGGATGGGGAGTTTCGTTGTCGACATATGCGGCCGGTACCAGTACGTGAGGGTTTTCGCAGGGGAGCGATACGCGGATAAGAGAGTGAAAGGGCGCAAAGGAAAAATAGCGAGAAATGACGTGCGGTAGAAGTCGAAGGAGTGATAGTGCATATAGGCGGACGCTATCGTATCAACGACAAACACACACTATAGCATAAAGTTAGGAACCTGACTTTTACTACTGAGGGATAAGTCCATGCGTATCTTGCTCTGGGAACTCACCAGATACCATGTCAAACTGCGGTGTAACATCTCGACCTTATCAAGCGTCAATCTAAGACACTGAGCGTTGCCGTGCCCTGGTTCCAGCTTCCTCCCTAGCAGCTTCTCCATCTCTCCAGCGTACTCCTCCATCTCCTCGTCGTGTGCCGGGTCAGAATCTCCAGTGTTCAAGAACGCCCATCGGAAGAAGTCCTTGACGTTTTCCCGCTTGATCTCCGAAGGTGGTGCATTTCGGAACCATTTCTGCAAGTACTGGTCCGGATCTGGGATGTTTCTGTGGCAGCGCCAGAACAGCTTCCGGCGATCTTCGCGAGACGCAGTTGTGGGATGAGTCGCGACCCTCTGGAGGTAGGCGTTGCGTGGGAGATAGACAGCACAGTAGAATACCATCTCGAGAACGAGCCATACTTCGAGTATGCGGGGGATACGGATCGGAAGGTCGACTAGCGAGCTGACCAGCGAATAGAATATGCTGAAGGGTGCCACCAGGTGCAGGAAGAATATGGACGTCCGTATGAAGGCGTACTTCCAGACAGATGATCGTGCCATGGCGAAGCGCAGATAATACCATCAGCTGATGAGCTTATCCTCGGCCATTGGTGGTGTTGCTTGGAAGAAAATTTTATATCAGCCATGTCTCGAGTGTATTTCCGTTGAATAGGCCAACTAATTTGTTGGGAACTGTTGACGGCCGACTTACCCCGCGTCGCGCCGAAAAATGCGGGTTCTATCAAGACGTGACATGTGAAGAGATAATACCAACAGGGACGACAGTCATATGGAAGGTTATCAACCAATGTACGTATGTCAATTACAATTGGGCCTATAGTGTTGGGGTGCGGTACCGCCACCTATGTTTTTCAACTCCTATGAATTGCAGGATGACGTCATATTCACATGCTTGAATCCATTGATTCACTTAACAGAGCCGATTAGGTGAGCTTGAGACGCAGATAGGAATCTTTAGAGCATTGCTATTCATACAGTAAAATCACGTGACCCCACTTTTTTTTTCTCCCCACATTCGGCATCTTCCCCCCGCCACACCAAAATCACAGTGTAAGTCAGGGAACGTTATGAACAATGAGTGAATTCTACAGCTATCAACATAACACATCGACCTGCGAGCCCGGCGGCAGCCAAATCGTTCAAAAAACCCATCTCCGTAGTTTCCCCGAAAAGTTCGTAACTTTGAGCCGGCCCGGCCGTTATTCCGGCGGCTGCCATTGCGGCTGCCACTGCAACTGTAGCTGCCCCGGCTGCTGTGACTGCCCCGGCCGCTGTGAGGGCTGCCGCGAGGGTTGTTGCAAGGGCCCCGGTTGCTGTGAGGGCTGCGTGGCCGGGATGACTTCCTCTACGGCTGAAGATGGCGGCGCTGCTGACCCTGCTGACCCTGCCGGCGCTGCCCTGCTGACCCTGCCTCTGCCCCTGCCCCGTCCTCCTCTGGTTCCCCGGCACAAAGTGCGGCACCCGTAAGCTTGCGGCACCCGTATCAAAATGGTGCGGCACCCCTATCAATTGCCAAAGCGAAACCCCTCTCTGGCGCGAAACCAGAACTGTGACCCCAAACTCGTGACTTTTGCTTCCACCTAGTATTCCCAGTTGTTTTCAGACTTGATAGATCTCATCATGGGAGCTTGTAGCTTTCGGGGTAATCACGAACCTTACTGGCCTTGCATCTACAAGGAAGATGATGAGATTCCGTTTGCACCTGATGGTAACGCCCCACTTATTTCCCATTGCGTCGAGAAAGTCAGAGGGACTTCCAACCATTTTAAAGGCCTCAAGTGCATCCGGAAAACCATCATCGATCCTACGGAGGGAGATGAAGCTTCGCGAGACACCAAGAAACGCAAACTCATACAAGAAGCCAAAATTCTTCACTTAGCCCGACATCATCATGTTGTTCAGCTCATCCATACATACTTTGTGGACGGAGAAGAGGACCAAATCAAGTTTTCAGTTATCATGGATCGGGCAGATGCAAACCTACACAAATATCTCAAGCCTGGACAAGCTCCCAGAGGACAATGGTTTAGTTGTTTGACAGGTGTTGTGTCCTACATCCATGCATTGGGTATTCGGCATCGGGACATCAAGCCATCAAATATTTTGATCAAAGGCGACAAGGTCCTGCTGGCCGATTTTGGCATATCACAAATGGGTCTTGGAAAAACAATGCCAACCACATACCGTCACCGTAATGCCGCGAGGACACGGGAGTATTGCGCTCCGGAAGTGGAAAAAGGTAGCACCCGTGGTCGGTCGGCAGACATCTTTTCTTTAGGGGCCGTGTTCCTCGAGATGCTTCTTGCCCATTCCTATCCCGATGGTTTGAACGGACTCAAGAAAGTCTTGGACTCCTCGTCCCAGCATGCATCGTCCTACGCCATTCACATTGACGAGGTTCATACATGGATGGCGGAGAATCTTCATCTTGCCGGCTGGCAGAACGATGTTCTTTCTGCTTGCCGAAGAATGTTGCACCCAGATCGACTTCAGCGCCCTCAAGCAGAAGATCTGGATTCTGATTTATTATCATTATTAGCTTCAGATGAGTCTTTGGCCTGCACATGCGCCAGAGACTCGGCTCTGACAGAAAGCAACAGGTTGGTTGAGTCTTGCAGGAAGTGTGCAGAGAACGAGGTGAACCGCGCGCTACAAGAAGGAGCAGACCCAAACACCTTGAGCGCAATTCACCATGCTGCAGAACGCGGGTCCGCGAGCATCGTGAAGGCGCTATTGGATCATGGTGCTGATATCAACATTTCGAATCCTACTGGACAAACAGCACTGCAATGTGCGGCTCGAGGCGGTTCCGAGGATGTGGTTAAACTGCTGCTGGAGAATGGTGCTGACGTTAATGCCAAAGACGAGAATGAGCAGACGGCGCTTCAGGGTGCAGCAGGGCAAGGGTATGGGACTATTGTTAAGATGCTGCTGGACTCAGGGGCCGATATTGATGCAGAAGACCTTGATGGGGACACAGCGTTGGACTTTGCAGATAGAAGGCATCATTCTGCTGTATTGGACCTATTGGAAAGCTACCTAGTGGACAAGATATAACCAGTTGCTGGTGAAGTTCTCAACTAGGGAGCAGTTTCATGGATATTTTGCCGAGGCTCCGATACTGGCGTTCTTTTGTTAGATGCCACATCAATCTCAAAGCCATTTTTTGCAGCTGACGAAGAATATTTGTTGTGTAACCGTGGTTTCACATAGGACCATCAAATCGGCTAAGGCAGTAGAACATATGGCGCAAGAGGTAATCATTATAACGTTGGTCCGCTCGGTAGAATCATCTCGTACAAGTGCGGAGCAACAGTCCAAAAACCCAATTGAAGGACGGGTCATTCGAATGAATGATTTGTGATCGAGGTTCTTCTACTAGAATGTTGAATTCTGATTAAATCAGGTGCTACGTATCTCCGATAATACCTGGGACCATGATCATCTAGGCTGCAGCAAAATACAAAAAAGACAATGAATTAGGCCTTTGACCTCGCAGGACAATCCTTCTCACTTACTCCAATTAAATTGAAACACCCTTGAGTTCCTCGACCACAAGTTCAGTAAATGCATTCTGAAGTTCAATCCTAATTTCGGAGTCATGTGACTGATCAGAGCCCTCTTCGACGCGCATCCCCATATCGCCATGAGCTACAAGACAGCGGCTGGCCGCCCTCCAGTACTTGTCCCCAGCAATGTCACGCAGTCCAAAAAGGGGGTTTGAATCTTTGAAGGGCGGACGACGCTCCTCTCCCAGAAGCCAGCCACGGATCTTGGGGTTCTGAGCGGACGGATCTGGCTATCTCTTCAAACACATTATCGTATGCAATGGCTTCCAATGGGCAATTTCGAGAAGGACCAGACCAAGATGGTAAATGTCGTACGTCTTTCGAGAGTTTGCTATCTTCGGCATCTCGTTTTGAATGCCTGGCTATCGATAAATATCCCACTGTGGGTCGAGACTGCGAGAAGTCGTCCTATTGCTTTGTGGGCGTGAATACTCGAATCCCGAAAGAATGGGTTTCTCGGGGTCGAATCGGTCTCCGTCAAATGAAAAGATGACATTCCCACTGTGGATTCCCTTGTGTAACCAGTTGGTAGTGTGCAGGTACAAAAGTGAGGATGCTAGCTTCCAGGCGAGAGAAATTCGTTGAGACAGAGTTGGCTTGTGTTGGCTTTGACCAAGCATGCTGTGAAGGGTCTTCAGCGTGGTGCATTCATTGGAGCCATCAGGCATCTTGAAAATCCATCCATATCGATTGTGTCTTTCACAATCATCGATATATCCAATACAGATTGGTGAGTAGAGGTGCCTTGGTTTCTTGTTGTGGAGCATCTGGGCAAGGGTTGCAGTCCGCAACTTAGACTCCTTTTCCTGAAGAGTCCCTTTGGCAATGTCGTCGATTGTTCTCCACTCGATCCAAACTTCGAAATCCGTACCATCCTTATTTAAGACCCCCCTTGGTCGGCGTGGCATGGGAAAATCTTTCGTGCCCTCTGCCTTTGCGTAGGTAAAATGATCCCTCAATGTGTCAGCATCATACCGGTTTACGCTGATGAGATCCTTAAGATCCCTCTCGATGTCAAGATCCGCGTCGTTCTCGACCTGCAACACAAGCTCATTAGAGATGCAGTTAATTTCCTTTAACCGCAGGAGATCTTGGAGTGTCTCGTCATTCTCTTTGCGGCAAATTGCGTTCGTGTTGGTCTCGGAAGCCTTGAGCAGACTGGTGACAGCGTCCAACAAATCTCTGAGCTCATTGATGTCGTTTCGTGCAAGAATTATCTCGCGGTAAGTCTTGGATGTGATTTCCTGAATGCGGTTCTCGCGGTATTCCCCCATCAGCTCGTGGATACGCTCAGTGAGGAAATGGAGATCCTTAAGCAATCCTTCGAAAGCCTCCTTGTCCACCATCACCCACCGGACCCGAAAAGGATGCGTGATTATCTCTCTGGCATTCTCAGCTCCTTTAGACATCCACTTGATGACGTGGTTCGTTCCTCGAAGGTGTCTGCGTTCTTCTTTGGCCTTCTCGTAGGCAACTGCCAGGCTTGAAACCTCCTTAACCACATCTATATCCCTGGCAGTTCTCTCCCTTGTTTCTTGGTCATTCTCTTGAAACGGATGCAGCTCATTCTTCCAGCGGGCGTTCATGTCTCGAAACTCTCCAAGAAGCCACCCTATACGAGACACGATGCTACAAAGCTCAATCGCATTCGTTCCGAGACTAATAGCCACATGTGATCCTTGGGGAACGTCGATCAAACCCACCGACTCACCCCAGGCGAGAAGCCGATTATACTCAATCATAAGTTGGAGTCGACATTGTTCGCATTCTTTGGGCATGTCCACCATAGAGGAGAGAAATTTGAAAACTGGCGATTTGTTAAATGATCAGAGGATATCATCGTGATGTGAAGATCGACTCACGCTTGACAGAATTATCAAACACATCAAATGCTAATGAGACAACCCCAACTGCAAGACCACCTGCAGATGCAGGATCCATTGTCAATGGCTTGCCTTGCGACGTACGCCAATGAAAATCGGGCTGCGAATAAGGGTGCCTTTCGGAATCGATATTCGATCCTGATGGAGAAGAGAAAAGGTTCCAGGAACCGTAAATCATTTGACTGCAAAGGATAGGGGTTTAGACAGCATTCGTTTGCCGTAAGTACTTATGGACGATACGATACGTGGCTGGAGACGATTAGCTTGTACTAATATCATGCTGCGTAAATTACTTTTGGGCAGACATGCATCTCTGTCAGATCATCAAGTTCAGCTCGACCAGGATTGGTGCGGAGTACCGACTTTTGCCCCACGACCCTGCCACCAGGCTCGCCAGCCAGAGCCGAGCTCGGAACAATAGCGTCGCAGGACCTACTCCAGTCAATGCGCCGGCCACGTCTTACGAGGTCGCGGGCAAGCCACAATCACCCATATGGACGACAGTGCGATGCATATGACTGCTGCTGCGAATGCCTTGAAACCTCACCGATGACCTGCCGTCCCACTAGCCGAGACGATTTCCCTGTCGCGATTATCTGTGCGTTAAGGTGGAATACGATGCTGTCTCTTATCTGATTGACTGATGGGGAGATAAATACCGATACGGCACGGGCTATGAGAGACGAAAATACATACAAGACTGGACGGACGGCGGATGTGACCTTGTGCTAGTCCGCCTATCAGGCATAGGAAAGACTATAGCGGCGGCTGCTTGTCTCCGGTTGAGCTTTCCAAAGTTAAAGTAGGTCCTACTGACTGGAATCTGTGGTGGTGTACCAAGTACTGCCACGAATCGAGAGATGTTGCTTGGCGATGTCGGCCCCTCTCTGTAATTGTCAACAGCCGAGACACGCAGTAGGATGAAACGCTGGCTTCCTTCAGCGCCTATTCCCCCATAAGCCTAGCAACATATCGTGAGCTTAAAAGCAATACATTGCTCTTGGAGCTCGTGAACTAACTGTGGTATCAGAACTTCATATCCCCACTTCACCCTCGAGTCCACCTCAATCCAGAGATGGTGCAATCCCCCCTCACCTTCCCCCGCCCCCATGAAAACCCGCCGGGTAATCCACGGCTTCAGTGCCGCCGGAACAAGCAAAAAGACATAACTTAATGATCGGCATAAAAGTGGCGGCTGCCTTGGGGTCGCCCCAAAGGCATCGCGCCAAAGGCATTCGATGAGGCACTGAGCACGATGCTGGCGAGGGCTTCGAGGGGCACCGACGTCAGGTCCAGTGCTCTATTTAGCAAAGTATTCATAGCTCAATTTTAAGATTGAATGGCGAATGTCAGGCGGTCTCTACCGTTTGTAGTGGGGAACAACCTCGTCCTCCTCGTGAAGCGTGGCCAAGGTTGCCTCGGGTGGAAACACCCTTATGGCGAGACAAGGCTGATAGAAGTGCGGGTCTACCAACAAGAGGCCAGGCGGGGGCAAGAGGATGCATGAGATAGTAATTACCACCTGCGCAACCTTGAAGTTTCCTTTTCTTCTTTGGTTCTTGCCGATCAAAAGTCCGGGTCTGCAAATCCAACAAAGTCCTCCATAATTATCCCGTTAATCCCTTCGACAGAATCTATCCTAAAGTTATCTATTATAGCTATTTTCTATATAAAGTACAAGTAGTTTATCTACAAATATTAACTTACCTTCCTCCTTTTCTACCTTAATATTAAATATCCTATCCATAACGCCGGGATATAAGTTTACTAGCTAGACAGTAGTATCCTCTATATCTATTAATACTATAGAAACTTTAGTTCTATTATTAATTATCTTACTATTTCTTATTATAATAATATTTATATTACCTATACTCTTCTGTAATAATTTAATTATTAGGTCCTCGCTTATACCTTGTATATGCCCTATATATACTCACTAAGCAACTTACCTCCTAAACGTCGACTATAATTTCCTACGAGACTATAATGCCGTTGTTACTGGCGCTTGATGGGATGAGCTATCGGGTCATCGAGTATAACAGCGCGGCTAACCGACGGCGGCTTCTAGTCGCGATCAACACTACTCTCGCCACTTGGGTTGCGGGACGAGCTATGGTTAGACGCCACAGTCCACAGCTGCTCCTGGCTCGTCGTGAGGATTTCCCGGGCGTTTTTGTCAGCACGACCACTGGTCGTAGATCTATCAAACCTCGCCAGCCATTGCCGAGGGGATGCCTCGCGGCCTCCGCGGTCCCGTAGGCGCGTGATGCAGGACAGACGACAGCTCGCGGTGTACAGAGCGCGAGAACGTGACATGGTGTGGCGAATCCTCGTACACTAGCTGACGGATCTTGAAGAACTGGAGGGGGCTGAATTCGCACTTTGGGGAGCTGACGCTGGTCACCCCACCTGTCTTGCCAGGCGCAAAAAAACGCGATTTTGTATGGGAAAACGCTACTTTTACGCGGAGGCCATGACAATCTGGATGTCAACCACCTCCACCCGACGACTCTATCGTGCACTCGATATCGATATGCGTCATTAACAGCGGACGACAAGGAAGCTGAGAGTGGAGAGGCGTTGGAGGTGGCAACGATCCTCTCCAAGGCCAGGGACAGGACCTGAGCTGTTCGACGTTCTGCGCAACACCGAACAGCCCCAATTATCACGTGTGGGATGCTGCGATTCAGCCAATCATGTCGGAATACATTATGAGTGGAATGTAGATATTCATCATATTTCTTTCAATTTACAAACAATCCCGCGCTACGCAGCGATGATGTCCAAAATTATCTGTCCCCTAATAATATGAGCCTAGACAAACAATGACTGGCAAATCCTTTGCAAAGCCCGGATGTAATCTCCCATTGACGCCACCGTGAAAATGTGGCATGCGGGGCGTCGGACGGATCGCTGGGTACTTGATCCGTGGCATTTTCAGCCCGCCACCGTATCGCTACGTACCAATACCTTTTTTTTGCTAATTTTCCTCTTCTTGGATGATTCAATAATGCTCCCGTCAACGTGCATCATCATATCTCGACAAATCTCTCGCCATGGAAGCTAGACAGATTGTAGAGTCCCTATGAGCTGAACTCATCAAAGACATGTATGTGGACCTCACCGAGAAGCAGCCATATCACAACACATGGACCCATTATTGAGTACGTCTTGTACTCCGTGGTAAACAGCCACATTAACTGGTGAACCGCTTTACCCGCTACTGCATGATTGTCACTTACGTGTGTGCTCGCCCAACTAACTTTTCCTCACCTTTTCAGCTGCTCCTTCTCCCTGCTTCTCTGTCAATCAATTCCCTGTTTTGACCACCAACCTACCGAGTAATCTCACCCAAATTCTATCCCACCCCGCCACATCACACCCATCACATTTGATAACTTCGCCATAAAAGAAACTCCCATTGCGAGTGAGTCCCGTACAGGAACTCCAAGCTATTCAACCGTTTCCAGCCCACTCCTCGTTCCTCCGAGTGCCTCCATTCCCCTCCAGGGTTCTCACTGCATCAGTGGCTTATGCGCACGCTTTTCATTTGGGCATGGTACAGAATGGTTATGGCTCTTGTCTCGCTTGGCTCATCCAAAAGAGTCAACCCTGAGGTTTCGCTCACCTCGTGTCCAGTCAAAACGCTCTGCACCATCATGTCAATTCCCGACTCAACATGAATTCCTTGTCGTGCTTACGACCGGATCTACCACTATCTCGATCCTCAGCGCTCTGCTGTCCAATGCAATAGCACATCACGATTGCTCAATTAGCGCATCACCGGGTCCCGTCCCTCCCCCTGGTCGCTGAAGCGAGACGTGGGACCTGGAACATGGATGATAGGCCGGATATGGGTCACCTTGGGAGGCTAAGGTTAGTGTCAGTGCCAAACGAGGCCAGCACACCTCTGTTCTGCTGGGGTTCCGATATGGAGGGGACCCACCGGGATAGAGTGGCAGATTCGTCGTTGGACCGAAGCGACCCAATGGAGAGGCTAGACGGGGAGATGCATGGAGGCTAGTTTAAAGAGGAGTGTCTCTCGACCTGGACAAGAGTTATTCGAGGCTTGCTCTTGCGCCCGGTGCTCTCCAATCCGTCCTTTCCGTCTAAGTCCCAAGTCCAAGTGAATGCACAACCTCCCCAGAATCAACCCGTAGCCCTCCACTCCTGCAAGCGTTATTAGTAGTCAAGAGATCCTGATCCTGCGCCTCTGGCCCTCCTCTTCCATCATGTCCCGTTCTGTCCTGCAGAATATCAAGAATCCTCCCTCGTTCAAAGACGGTGACATCATTAGGAATCGCCCGCGATACGCGGCCCTCCTTCACCATGTCCTCCTCCCAAGACCTCTTCGACCAATACCGCGGTCGCATAGTCCCCCAGAGCTTCAATGCTGGCTTTGTCGCCCTAGCTATGCCGTCAGCTTGATCGGTGCCGCTTCCACCCTCGAATTAATTAACCGAAGGACTAGTTCCAGAGGTCTATTCAACCAGTATGCCTCCAACCACTTTTCTTTTCAAACTGGCTGGCGGACCCGGGCCAGCTTGCTCCTTGTGAGCTCTGCCATCACCATGGGTGGTATATCAATTTGGTGCATGGTGCGTAACATCGTGGCTGCCCATTCTCCCCTTGTAGCTCATCATATATCTAGCATTTCATTGGTAACCGAGCCATTGATCTCGCCGACGGACAAGCCGACCTGCAAGTTGCCTACTCGAGTGGTTTTACTGCCATATCCTTCTTCGTCCCCATCATCGTGCTTCTCGTTGCCTTCGTCGCTGTCGGAACGAATAACCGCGCGTCTTGGTGGAGAGTCTGCGCTGGCGGTCTCCTTTGTGGCACTGCCGTCTGTGGCATGCATTACCTGGGCAATGCCTCCATTGCCAACTATGTTTGCGTCTACCGGCCCGCATATGTTATTGGTTCAGCAATTATCGCTGTTGTTGCCAGCATCGTCGCTCTCGCTATGTTTTTCGTATTCCGAGCGGCTTGGGCGTTCTCTTGGTGGAAGCGAGCCATCTCCGCCGTTATACTAGCCGGTGCCGTGTCTAGAATGCATTGGTGTGCTGCCGTCGCCACGCAATATCGCCTAATCAATTCCAAGCCCGAGGGCAACGGGCCTTCACGAACTGCCACTGTCATAGTTGTCATTTGTCTAGTTAGTACTTAGTACTGCCCCCAGTGAGCCTGGGTTATTTCGTTGATAGGTTGCTGATATTCGGCATAGTCCATTGGCGCCTGTGACCACCGAAGATGCTAGAAACAGGGAGTCAAGGATGACAGCTGCTGATGGTAACTGGTGGTGAGGCATGCTCTCTATTCCACGCCTTCCTCGGAATTCCCTTAGAGTGAAGCCTGTCCAGAATGCAGTACCAACACCCACCCACCCCCCTGGCGGCACATAACACAATCACCATGCAAGGTAAAAGGGGCTGTGACTCCCTGGAGTTCCCATATGCAGGAGGTGCCTCTTTCCCCTCGACATGCTCGCAGTGGCTGCTCTGCAATGTCTCAGCTAATAGATACCATGGCAATACCCCGGAGGAGTGTTCCATAACGATCTTAGCGGCCATGTGTGACTAACAGGTGATCATGCAGAATGCTCCCCGAAACTATACGAGAGTCTCTTAGCTTGAACCTGCTTCGTCAGCAGCAAAAACTCTCTTTGTAATCCTGAAAACGGGGAAACACTTTCGGGGCACGATTCGGGGGCACAGTCACGAGAGAGACGAAGAGAGAGAAGCACTGATGCTGACCTGGTCCCATAAGCAAGCTCACGGAGACCTGGTGGTCGAGGTAAAGCGGGAAAAGGCCACGTACTTGGTGTGTGACGCCTTGATGATCTTCCCCCAATGCTGAATCTCATCACAGATGTGAGAACGACTTGCATGGTTCGTGGTCCTCTTTAACCTTGACGCGAGAGGGGTCTGTCTAGTGGAATGGGCGTGACAACGGTGCATGGACAAGACCTACCCAATAATACAACACGGGCCTACGGAACATGGTAACAGCACACACGTGCAATACTTGCCGGGATAAAAATAACAAAGGTTAGAAACGCCCAGTACAATGTCGCTTTATATAGGCCAGCGTTGTATTAGTGTATTAAGGGTGAATTCATCCCAGTCATCGTTTGCATGTGATTCTTAATCACGCATAATTATAATCTCTACAACAACAAATCAAGCATTTAAACCATCTAATAATCCACCTCAGCTATCCCAAATCGCCCCATATGCAAGAACACCCCGAGTCTCAAGACCATAAACAACCTTCTTAGTAACCTTCTCGTTTGCAATAATAATCACAGCCTTCTGTACGTGGATCAACAGAAGCGACCAGCGACGGGAGCGACTGGAACAGTACATTCTGCAGGCGTACGACGAAGGCAGCATCGAGCACCTCTACACCAGAGTCCTGGTCGATGGCGGGATCCGCTGGAACTCTGTTTATTCCATGATTGAAAGAGCTCTGAAACTCCGCCACGCCATTAATCTATTCTTCCTCAACTACAACCATATTAACGGAGAATATGATATCTCACAGGATATCCTTACTCCATAAGATTGGACCGATCTGGGCCACTTCCTCAATATCTTAAAGCCCTTCGAAGATCTAGTAAAGTATATAGAAGGCCGGGCAAATAAAGCTAGCCTGGAAGGATTATATAGCTCCCTCTATGAGACAATCGAGTTGCTTGATGTCCTTTTCAAGAAACTCCAGGAGGCTGGGAAGTTTGCAGATGATCACCCTGATGTGGTGTCAACATACTATTCCCATGCTATTAATGCTGCTCGCGTCAAGCTTGAAGAATATTTTGATGCATCGGATCGGAAGGGTGCATTGTGATATGAATAGAAGCTCTTGATTTCTAGCTATTTGAAGGGCCCAAATCAGCCCTTATATACATGAAGGAAAAGACGGTCTCGTGACCTAAGTCATGGATCCGAGCCTTCAGGGGCTCGAGCCTGTGGCCTATTATGAGGGCGCAAAAAAGCAAACATGATCCTAGAGTCTGATGATAGTTGTGACATATTTTAGCCTCACAGATGCCACGCCTGCATACCGATGTGCAGTTGCCCTGCATCCGGCAAACAAATTTACCTACTTCGAGCTTGAATGGAGTCACAACAAGCAATGGATCAGCGGGGCGAAGAGAGTGGCGCAGGCTTATCCACAATACGAGGGAGCAGCTGCGGAAGTGGACCTAATAGAAGGAGCATAACAGCAGCGGGAGGAGGAGGAGGAGGAGGCTGTTGCTGATAACAGGGCGAGGCTTGATCCACTCCAGCAGCTCGTAAGCGTCGTCAGAGGCTTGCTGCCATTGCGGCGTCAGCCACACGAGGGAAGCGGATAAAACTGATATCTGAGCTGGATGAGTTTACGGCCAGGACTAATAAGGCTGATCTGGATATTGAGGATCCTCTGGAGTAGTGGGTTCGCCATACATCTGACTACCCCATCCTGTCCTAGATGGCTTTTGACTTGTTCAGTTGCCCAGCAATGAGCGCTGAGTGTGAATGCGATTTCTCACAGACAAAAAAGATCATCACAGATGAACGAAACCGGCTTAATTCGGACACTGTAGCAGCGATTGAATGCCAAAAGCACCGGCTTCGAAGCGGTATGTTAGCATAGATCTACCACCGGAGCCACATGAGGAATGGAAACTGTCGAGTAACCTCAACCAACCAAGCAAAGCAAGCCTCTCTTACCGAGTAAACCAAGTCAAGTAGAGGGTCCAAATTTTGCTTTACTTGATTGGTGGACACACTGGACTGTGATAACTGACAGGATCGCGACCGCGGCCGTCGTGGGCTCGGCAGCGGTAGGCAGGTCGGCGTTTGTGAGAATTATGGTTAGGCTCCCATAACAGAAGTCTAACCCTCACCATGCGTCATCTCTGTCCCACTCCCCGTGGCCTGGCTCTAATCATGGTGTGCGTACGCAGGTGTGCGAGTGTGTGTGCCTTTTTTTCCCTTCGTTTTTCGGGTGCTGGGGTGCGGCTACCTTGGCAATGCCTATCGCAGTGCCAGGACGCACACCGGTTCATCCCAAGAGAGCAGCCACATTCATCCGTGAGTCCTTGTCCGAGAGCACCTGCGGCTGTTGTCGTAGTTGAGGCTGCTGCTGGACAGGGGAGTTTGGTGCCGTAGGCAACTGGCTCTGGGGCACCAGCGGAGGTAGTCGAGGCTGAGATTCACGCATGTCTCCAAAGGAGGGCGAGGCCAACAAGCTCAGGCTGGGGAGCTTGGGGTCACCAGACGACGGCACCGAGGTGGTGCGGAGTGGAGGTAGCTCTACCGGCATATGCAGCAATAATGAATACCGGCCCGGCGACGTTGTGTAGCTGGAGCCTGAATCTGACTCGGCTGATTCAGATGAGCAAGGGGATGGGAAGGGAGCTTCCACCCAGGGCATTGGGTGTCGGTGGCCCGGGGTCGATTGTGTCGATAACTGTGTCCTGGGTAAGGGAAGTGTCGGTGTCAAAATGGGGAGTGCTATTCGGCTGCAGTGTTCATTATAGGGTTTAACGGCTCGTCGGCGGTCCAGCCTCTTGCGGCGGTTCTGGCTACTGTTCCACCAGTTCTTGACGGTATTGTCGCTCCGTCCGTGAAGCTAACGGGCGATCTCTGCCCATCGCTTTCCAATCTCATACACTAAGCACTCAATCTGGATACCTTCCTCGAGTATAATATAGTCGTAATTTAGTATCGGCTTTAGGTTCTGATAGTAGCGCTCGCAGTACTATTTAGGCATTCGTAAACCTATAGTATATACAATCCGTACCCAGTTAAGGGGACTATATATTTAAACTAGTTATATCAGGTAAGAGTCTTCGGCATTAGTCCACGGGCCTCTTCTATAAGCAGTTATAATAGCAGGGAGGCTACTAGGGACGGTTAGGAGTAGTAGTAATAAAGTGGTAGATGGATGATAACGGCTGGTGGTGATAGCTCTTAGTAGACGTAAAGTGGGCGTGGGCGTAGGTGGGTTAATATTATAGTGTTATAATTAAGGCGCTAAGTAACTGGGGTAGTAGAGACGATAATAATAAAAAAGATAACGAGGGAGGGTAGTAATAAGATCTAATACAAGCTGCGGTATGGAAATGATATTGATATCTAATAATGGGATTTTGAGAAGATATATTTGTCTCGAGGGGAGGGAGGTGAGGTAATAAAATATCCATAAGGGCTGGATAGGGCTGATAGGGCCAGTCTTTAGCATAAAGCATAACATATAGGGAAAAGCAAGTCGTAATATAGGGGGTTAAGACCCCAACTTAACCACCCTGACAACAAACTTTCTCGATCTGCTACTAGAATGCCGCTGTTAATAGATAGGCGGGCTATAGATGGGGCAACGGCATTCTAAGGGTAGAGGGATCAAGGGGGCGTGCAAGAAGGGGTGCGGATAGGAGTAGATATCAAAGTAGTTTTGGCCAAGGTAATACAAGCCAGTAAAGGTATTGGACTGCGTCCGGTCTGTGGGTTTCTGTAGGTAAGTAACAAGCTGAGTGGGCTTGTTCGTGGTTGGGTGGTTGGGTATGCACGTTCGCCGGATGTGATATCCTCCGCTGTAGTTGATGACCCATCATCATCTCGCATCCAGCTCCCTCGGCCCAGTGTCTCTCCCTGCCCTGTTTCCACCCAGTCGGGGCCACCTCCATCGTCGACTGCCCCAGACGGCTCGCTGCCCCGAATGCAGTGAGACTAGTGTGAGGGACAAGCCAGGCCAGGACAGGACAAGACAGAGGAGGAGACGAGGGAGTATACCAAGTCAATGTCAGCCTGCAGATCGGTACGGATACCTACTGGGTAGGTGTTCCACAGGATTGCGCCGGTTGAAGGTTCCCCCCAAGCCCCAAGGTCTCTCATCATGTTCACCGGCTGGGTGTCTCAACGCTGTCTTTTGACCCCAATCCCCAATCCCCAATCCCGAGTCGTCCGCCGACCACCGCCGGTCCGCCTTCGCCGACGTACGTACTACGTTCTCTGGGTGATGTCGAGCTGCATCTGGGGGTGGGTGGGTCTGGAGCGAGAGCATCGCCGTCATCGAATCTGGAACGCTCTCGGCTATCGTCGTAGTGGAGCGGCAGATTGTTGTTGTCGGTCCATCCTGGCCAGACCTTGCCGTCAACCAAGCCACCAGCGCCAACGCCGGCCTGGAGCCTGTAGCCTCTCTAGCTGCTTTCGTCAACTCCGAGTCGCATCAGGCAATGAATGTCGAAGTAGAGTTTGATCTAGCCTGTTTGACAACGCCGCCCGCCCTCTCTCTTGCTTGATTCGTCCATCTGGTCGTCGGTCTATCCGTCGGCCTATGGACGGGCGGGCAGGACCCTCCAGTCAAGCCGCAGCCGTCGCAATTGACTCTTGCCAGGCCTCGAGTTTCGTCCGCCCCCGACAGGTTGGTGCGTTTAGCAGCTAACTGACAGGGTGGGCGTGCAACCGTGTGGAGGAGCTGTTTTCAAGCCCAGCTTCGCCGTTGCAGGCTCCCAGTCGCAGTCACCGTCACCATCGCCGTCAGCGTCAGCGCCATCGCGCAGGGACAGGGGCTAGCTGGGGTTTGGGCCGGGGCCGGGGGTTGAGGCAGGGCGATCATCGACAACTGGTTGGGATCGTCGGCCCTCCGTCGGATTGGTGGAGGCGCTTCCGCTTCCGCTTCGACACCTACCTCTATTACTTACTGTGCCTACCTCCCAGGATAACCCGTTGGTTGTAGCTGGACTTGTCTGTTGGGTCACTGAAGGGGAGGGACCTCCTGTCCCCGAGTGTCCATCCATCCTCCTGGTCCTCGGGATATGCGCTGGGTGGGATGGAATGCTTGTAAACGGGTCCTAGGGTACACGAGCAACGGTATGGAGTACGGGCTTGGACCTAGGTACCTGATTATCGGCGATCGAGCCCTCGTCGACCGGATTTGATTTTGTCCAATCACACGGTGCACCGCACAATCGATGACGGATAGCCCTGGTAGAATCAGGCAGAAATGCTGCATCCACTGCCTTGCGCACTCCAGGCAGAAGTGCAAAACAGGTGTTGTCAATGGCGGTGAGTCCCGGAGGACCCATTCAAAATTCTTTCAGATAATTATCTATCAGTCCATGGATGCCACAATTCCCTAACAAGACCTCCAGTACAATCGGGTCTCATGTCATCTTGTAACCTCTATCCGCCCACCCATCACTCGTCTTTTTGACAATGGCTGAAGCCCTTGGAGCCGCTGGCTCCATCGTCGGAATTGTTGCGTTTGGCCTCCAGCTGGCCGCCAAGTTGCAGGCTCATGTGGAAGCTGTCGTTGAAGCTAGTGATCGACTCACTGAGATTAGATTCGATGTCAATTCCACCGCTGCAACGCTCTACCAGCTGAAGGATTTACTCGACAAAGACCAAGATGCATCCGTTCGCGTCTTTCCGGACGCAGGCGTGCGTGAAATCGCCAGTCTCGCCACTCGTTGCTCGCAGATATACAGCACTATCACCAAGCGACTAGACAAAGCTGCAGAAAGCTCTGGAAATGGAGAGAGAAAGGTTGGAATATCGACAGATGGAACCGACCAGACGCCCTTGAAGATCACCAAACTGGGCCTCCGGCGGAGCCTAGCATGGCCATGGCTAGAGCCAGAAATAGAGCGTTACCAGAAGCGGCTGGGACGAGTGAAGTTGGATCTGCTTTTACAGCTTCAGCTGGCCAATCTTGGTCGATTTCAGATAGAGTTCGTTCTTATCATTGCTACACATTGACCAAGATGGCGGCGATGTTTCCTTCGCAGCTAGAGCCGTTCGAGAAGCTAATATCTCTGTTCCTATTAGGAACCCAACGCTAAACCCAGAATCAGAGGAGGAGCGGCAGATTTTGTGCCAGCTTACTAATAGTTTCAGAAGAAGTCCTGTAAGAAACGCAGAAAAGCCCACAGGACAAGGCACCGCAACATTGCCTCCAGTATTTCCTCCAGCTCGAGCCAAGAGCGACCTACAGTGAGTGCAATGTCTCAATCGACGAATTGTCATTGACATGATTTCTCTTGCAGACTGGAACGGCACCGGGAGTGTGCGACATCGGATACCGCAGAGAATGGTAGACTGCATGCCGGGGCCGGGATGGGAGAAGCCCCAGGCGGCGAGGCTGACGGTAATTACAGCCATGCATCATCACAAGATTCGATTGGCGCCATGGATCTGGGTCAGGATCGTCGTGTATCCCTTCATCTTTCTCCATCTTGGATTCAAAAAATCTTCCAGCCGGACTTGCGCGCCCCCTGTCTTGACTGGGAGAGTGCAGAATTTGAGGCCTTCCTCCTTGATGTGACGGTGGAGTTTGGGGGTAAAGCAAAAGCAACGCTGAACAAGCTCGAGGTCGGACACCTGGAGCTTCAGGATGCCCTTGCCGGGATTCTACCTCTCCAGCGACGGAAGATCCGGCTAGGAGTCTGGAAGAAATGTAAGTCACTCGAACCACGGGTGCGCCATGAAGTCCATGGAGCTATCACGGCCGTGAAGCAATGGAGCCGCCAGAAAAAGGTCTGGATAGCAATGGAGATAATGGAGTCCCAAACGCCTCATGCGAAGGGCGGCTCGCGGCCTCTTACCAACGGACGAGAGACATCTATCATTCTATTTTTCCGTCTTGGTGAAATGGTCGAGCCTGTCCGTATGGAATATACTGATAGACGCGTACTCTTACCGTACGAGCATTGCCGTACATGGGAGGTAAGTAACTCTCGTTTTCTCACACAAGACTTAAACCTTTCACGAGCGATACCTTGCGGAAGAAAATGCCAATATCGTCTATGATATCCTCTTGTAATTCCGAGGCGATTCTGACTAATCTTTGAACTTCACTAGATGACCAAAACCATCCTCACTCAAGCCTTTCACAAGGATGTCTCCTTTGACAAGCTTGTTCGAGGCGGTGAATATTATATCCAGGATGTCATAAGTGGAAGTATAATTGCTCCTCCTGTGTGGAGATCCCTGGTTCGCCCTGGGATGTACTTGAGAATACGGCCAAGGTTATGCCCGAGCACGCCACGCAAAGGAGCACACAATCCTGGAGCTACATTTACCCCAGTACCGGAAGGAAACCGATGGCCCTCGTCGTCCATACCGACCAGAACAATAGCGTGTACGATGGTAAAACGAGAGGTATCACCCACACGGCAAACCATTCACGCCGCACCAGGTCGGAGAGTCGCATCTTGTGCAGACACTGGAAGCCGATTACATATCGATCAAGAGATAGAGCGGCTTCTTGATGAGGAAGAGCGCTATGCAAATGAGGTCGACAGAGCAAAACTTTGCGTAAGGGAACTCCTTGCCATGTGGACAAATGCACCAAATGCAGGTATCGAGGATGACTTTTCCGATAAGTTATCACTTCCGCGGAGCGGCTCAAAGTTTTCGGCTGGAAAACGTCGCATATATCGCTGTTCATAGAAACCTATCGTTTGACTCATTATTGCAGCAAGGAGATGTCCCTTTTATAGAAGCTTAGTCTCACCACCTTGTTCAAATTGCATGTACTTCGTTTTAGATGAGATTTTATTACGTGATTGTTTAGGAATTTACCTATTACGCGCCAGTCAAAGAGTACCACCCAGCCTTGTTCCTCGCCCTTTTCCTCGCAGCCTTGCGACCACATGGGTTTACCCCGCAGCGTTTCCCTTTCATTCATGCACATTGCGGATAGTCACATTTTCTTCTGCTCATCGCGATGAGTTACTGCGAAAGCTGTGACAGAGGTTTCGTGTCTGAGGCGGCGCTCGAGCGACACATTCGCGACTCAAGCCGCCATGCCTATTGCACGAGGTGTGAAAGGTCATTCGGTTCTTTGGAGAGCTTGCAACAGCATGTGCGTGACTCTTCGAGCCACCACATCTGTTACCGACGACGCAGCGCACTCTAGGTGCCTTGAGGAACGAGGAACGAGGTGACGAAAGGCTCTTAGGGCCTCCTCCCGTGCCTTGAGGAACGAAAGGACTATCAACGTGTTGAGATCCGTTGTTTGACGGATCAATGGCTATTCCGATCCATTGGTGGCTGGGATGTGGATGTCTTCTTGTCAATAGCTTCCGCTGGTTAGCGCTAGTTTTCTACTTCAATCAATACAATATGCTCATTTTAACAGTGCGGGCAAGTGATTGGGCGGAGATTATAGAAAGGAAGTTAAAGGTATCTCTCGAGCTCTTAGGTTTCGAGAATCTTCGGTGGCCACTGATCTGCCGCCATTCAAGAGGGGGTACAGGGTGTTAGTTAACAAGGATCGTTTAAGTCCTAAAATAACCATTAGATCCTTCTTTACGGACCGTCATCAGTGAGCCGAGTCGTGGCCGGCCAGAATCAGCACCTCCAGAATCGGCCACCTCAGAAGTTGGAACCACATTTTTATCGTTTTACAGAGGCCCAGAAGAAAGACTGGTGAGGGCTCATCGTCGCAGACAAGGGGTTTGGTATAACTTATAGGCCTTCGCTATATCTAAATTCTCTTTATATAGACGGAGTTACCTGAAGAGGCTATTAATATATATTACCTCTTATATCTATAGCTAAAGAGAGTAAATTCTACTCTATAACTGCCTAGAGCTTTATAATATAAGAATACGCCAGCCCTGCTATTGCTATATTACTTCTAATATCTATAGGCCTTCTAGCACTTTCTAATATATTATCAGATCTAGAATAGATAACGTACATGATAAGCGAGTGCACAATACAAGCGAGTGCACAATTTTTCTTCTAACCGCCCTCTTCCCTCTTTTAACTCCATTTTTTCAACCACGCATTATGTCGTCAATAAGCAATGAGGCAAATATCAATCTTGCCCTTCAAGCCCTTCAGAAAGACCCTCAATTAACTCCCTACCGCACCTCAAAGATCTATAAGGTCTCTCGCCATACTCTACTACGCCGACGCGCCGGCATTACTTCGCGACGCGATACTATGCCCAATTCGCGTAAACTATCTGATCTAGAGGAACAGACTCTTCTTAAGTATATTCTTAACCTAGATTCGCGAGGGTTTCCCCCGCGACTGAGCGGTGTGGAAGAAATGGCCAACCGATTGCTCGCCGACCGCGACGCGTTACCTATCGGCAAGCGCTGGGCTTCTAACTTCGTCAGGCAACAACCAGAGCTTAAGATGCGTTTTTTTCGTAAATACGACTATCAGAGGGCTAAATGCAAAGATCCAACTATTATTTGCAATTGATTCCAGCTTGTAGAGAATATAATTGCAAAATATGGTATCGACCTAGCCAATATCTATAACTTTGATGAGACCGGCTTTATGATGGGCATAATCACAAGCGGAATGGTTGTTACAGGCATAGAAAGGCATAGAAACCCAAAATCAGTTCAGCCTGGAAACCGGGAATGAGTCACGGTCATTCAGGCAATTAATGCAGAAGGCTAGGCGATCCAGCCATTTATCGTGGTTGCAGGCCAATATCACCTCGCTAACTAATACTAAGAAAGCAACCTCCCGAGCAATTGGGCTATTGCAACAACTCAAAATAGCTGGACTGATAATAAGACGGGTCTTAAGTAGCTTAAGCATTTTAATCAGCATACAAAGAATCAATTGATCGGTCGCTATCGTCTTCTAATCCTCGATGGGCACGAAAGTCACCACTCCGTCGACTTTGAGAAATATTATGAGGAGAATCAGATTATTACGCTTTGTATGCCGCCTCATTCATCTCACCTACTTCAGCCTCTTGATATCGGGTACTTTGGGCCGCTTAAAATAGCCTATGGTCGAGCAATTGAGCAATTAATTAGATGCTCTATAACCTACATTTCGAAGACCGAGTTCTTCCCAGCCTTCTACGCTGCCCACGCAGCCGCTATGACAAGGAGTAATATTGAAGGAGGTTTTCGAGGAGCTGGACTTGTTCCCCTAAACCCAGAAAATGTCATATCGAAGCTTGATGTGCAGCTACGGACTCCAACACCGGCTGCAGAGGAGGTCGGCCTCCCCGACCCTTGGGTCTCGAAGACCCCAAAGACAGTACTTAAGGCCAGTTCGCAGTCTGAATATCTTGAAAGACAAATGAGAAGGCATCAGAGCAGCTCTCCAGCATCAATTCTCAAGGCGCTTAAGTTACTTTCAAAGGGAATAAAGGCAATAATGCATCAGAATGCTCTATTGAAAGCTGAGAACCAGATCCTTCGACAGGCAAATAAGACTCTTAGCAAGCAGCGCAGAGCAAAGAAAACCCGCCTATATAAAGGAGGGAAGATGACTTTAGATGAGGGCAGGGGTGAGATAGATCAGAGAGACGTTGATGCACAGGTAGCAGCTGAATCGTTGAGAAGTAGTGGTCGAGGGAGGTCAGCGATACCGAGGGAAAGGCGCTGTGGAACTTGTGGAAAGGCCGGTCATAATGTAAGGACCTGTCAGACTATAATTAAGACCTCTGAGGAAGAGCATAGCGATTAGTTTTAATTGATTGATTGTATTGTTGTGGTTTTATTGAGGTTTGAATCTTAGAGGTTAGGAAAAATTGTGTACTCGCTTGTATTGTGCACTCGCTTATCATATACGTTATACAATCTATATCTCTATTATAGCACCCAGATAGAGGAAGCAACTTACTGCTCTAATTTCTATTAGCTATTAGAATATAAGAAGACGCCAGTATTAATTCACAGTTCGAGCTTGCATTCTACGCATATCACACAGTCTTCCTTAACGTCGCCAGCCCAAGATGCCGGGGTATCGGCCAAGGCAGAGAAGGAATTGAGAGCGTACAATATATCATTGGACGAGTCGAAGATGAAGAGGAGAGCATCGCGTCGAAGCCGAAATATCTCCATTCCATTTGCGGGGCGGGAATAGGTGCCCACAATATTATCCTTACTCACACCACCAGATGTTAACGTCTCTCCAGGGACGTCCAAGTATTAATAGCCCGCGGGCGCTGAAGCATTCCTGTTCAAGAGAGACGCAGGGAGCAAATGCAGATAAGAGAAACAACAGCGTTCGAACGGCACGACCTGGGTGGCCGGGGATGAGGATGGTAAGAGAGACTGGCAAGCACTTTATACTCGCTCTTTAGTAGGAAAGGGCAAGAGAATCAGGCAGGGTTGAGCTGGCAAAAAAGCAGGATTCCTGAATTTCCCACTCCCGACAACTCCCTTTACGGATCGAGCGGGTTGTGTATCATTGTCTTTGTCTGCCGGGCGGCGATGGGAGTCCTAGCCTCCAACTTTAGCTGGAGTCAGCAGAATTAGCCACAAGCTGTTCACTAGACTTCGCCATGTAACATACATTCCGCTAAGATGGTGAGTGGTTGTAAGTGGTGTTGATATGTAGACCAGAGCCTGGGAAGCTATGCGACTGAGACGATGTTGTGGATGATGATGATGAGAGTGGATTGGAGCGAAATCGATTGGAGCGAAATCTTCTCGGATACCCAAGAGTATTTATACCAACCGGAGACAGAGTGCGTAATCAACCAATTCAACTCAACTGGTACCTCCTCGCAGTTGGGTTGACATCCGGCCAAGTATATTTCAGTTGGGTTGAAGTTGGAGGAGGCTGCTCTCAGTTGGATTGCAGTTAGTTATTTCGGACTAACGGATATCCGATCTTCACGTCTTAACGCCGATCCCACTCATCACTACCACGAGGGTAGGATAATACCCTCCCTGCTCTATAACTGTATACTCTGTACTATTCTAATAGTATATTAATTAAGACGAGCTTGTAAAGGTAGTAATATCTTTCCTATATTACTGAATGACTTTTTAGCCTCTGCTAATATTATAGAGATAGATAGTAAGTTAGAGGCTATTTAAGAGAGGTTTAGATATTTTATTTTATACTTTTTTTATTAAAAAAAAAGCTAAATTAGTATTTATTATTAATAAAAATAAAAGTTTAAATATAATATTTATATTTATTAAGTATTAAATACTATTATAAAGAATATTTTATTTTACTATTTAAATATATTCTTTATATTTACTAAGTAATTATACTAGAAATATATTATATTTAGAAAGTATTCTTTAGCTACTTATTATTAATAGTATTATTAAGCTAGATATTATATAAATAGTATACTTTCTTTTTTATTGTAACAGGCAGTTAGGGATACTTAGGCTAGCTAGTCGCTAGCAGGAATATCTCTAGAGTGACCTGGATGGGGTTAAAAGGGGAGGTCAGTACCGTTACTAGGGGAAATCATCATCTTTTTATTTTTTTTAGAGATTCTTCCTAGAAGTCAGAGAGGCTAGAAGGGCTCGAGGCTGCTAGGGAGTCTATTAATTAATTGCCTTCATTTTTAAGAGATTTATTTGAGCCTTCTTGCCGTTACTACATTCCCTGTCCAACTTCTATCTTCGACCTCCCTCAGATATCGGGCTGCCGCAGGCCCTATTGATGCCTTGCTAGCGAACCTTCCTATAACCGACTCGATATTCTATCTTATAAGATGCTTCCCTATCAGGAGATATAAGCCTCAGACTGATCCGACCTTATATATATAATCTAATACAGCTTCGAGCTGACCGGCTAAGATGCCTATATAATAACTCTCTATATATTCCCCTTAGGGTAAGTTAATAAGTTGGGTGTTATTTTCTGTTTCTTTTTGCTGCTAAATTATATCTTTTTAAATTTTATTAAGTAATTCTTTTTATTATATTATATTTATATTTTTTTTTAATAATATTAAAATACTAGCTATTTAAATAAAAAATAAAAAATTATAATATTAATATATCTAATAGGCTATAATTTATTATAATACTTATTAAGCTTTATTTATATAAGGTTAATAATATAAATATTACTTATATATTATATTTAATTATATATTAATATATATAATAAGTATATTAGTTAAATAAGCTTACTAGTTAAAAATTATTACTCTTAATCTAGAAATTAAAATAAATATGTAATAAAGTATCTAATTAATTAGAATTAATTACTATATTCTTCTCTAGATATTATAATAACTACTTAATATATTCTTATATTATAACTAGTCTTATTATATATTTTATAATATCTTTTCTTTAGTTAACGTATATGATAAGCGAGTGTACAATACAAGCGAGTGCACAATTTTTCCTAACCTCTAAGATTCAAACCTCAATAAAACCACAACAATACAATCAATCAATTAAAACTAATCGCTATGCTCTTCCTCAGAGGTCTTAATTATAGTCTGATAGGTCCTTATATTATGACCGGCCTTTCCACAAGTTCCACAGCGCCTTTCCCTCGGTATCGCTGACCTCCCTCGACCACTACTTCTCAACGATTCAGCTGCTACCTGTGCATCAACGTCTCTCTGATCTATCTCACCCCTGCCCTCATCTAAAGTCATCTTCCCTCCTTTATATAGGTGGGTTTTCTTTGCTCTGCGCCGCTTGCTAAGAGTCTCATTTGCCTGTCGAAGGATCTGGTTCTCAGCTTTCAATAGAGCATTCTGATGCATTATTGCCTTTGTTCCCTTTGAAAGTAACTTAAGCGCCTCGAGAATTGATGCTGGAGAGCTGCTCTGATGCCTTCTCATTCGTCTTTCAAGATATTCAGACTGCGAACTGGCCTCAAGCACTGTCTTTGGGGTCTTCGAGACCCAAGGGTCGGGGAGGCCGACCTCCTCTACAGCTGGTGTTGGAGTCTGTAGCTGCACATTAAGCTTCGATATGACATTTTCTGGGTTTAGGGGAACAAGTCCAGCTCCTCGAAAACCTCCTTCAATATTACTCCTTGTCATAGCGGCTGCGTGGGCAGCGTAGAAGGCTGGGAAGAACTCGGTCTTCGAAACGTGGGTTATAGAGCATCTGATCAATTGCTCAATTGCTCGACCATAGGCTGTTTTAAGCGGCCCAAAGCACCCGACATCAAGAGGCTGAAGTAGGTGAGACGAATGAGGCGGCATACAAAGCGTAATAATCTGATTCTCCTCACAATATTTCTCAAAGTCGACGGAGTGGTGACTTTCGTGCCCATCGAGGATTAGAAGACGATAGCGACCGATCAATCGATCCTTTGTATGCTGATCAAAATGCTTAAGCCACTCAAGACCCGTCTTATTGTCAGTCCAGCCATTTTGAGTCGTTGCAATAGCCCAATCGCCCGGGAGGTTGCTTTCTTGGTACCAGTTAGCGAGGTGATATTGGCCTGCAACCACGATAAATGGCTGGATCGCCCAGCCTTCTGCATTAATCGCCTGAATGACCGTGACCCATTCCCGGTTTCCAGGCTGAACTGATTTCGGGTTTCCACGCCTTTCTGCGCCTGTAACAACCATTCCGCTTGCGATTATGCCCATCATAAAGCCGGTCTCATCAAAGTTGTAGATATCGGCTAGGTCGATACCATATTTCGCGATTGTATTCTCCACAAGCCGGAACCAATTGCGAATAATGGTTGGATCTTCGCATTTAGCCCTCTGATAGTCGTATTTACGAAAAAAACGCATCTTAAGCTCTGGTTGTCGCCTGACGAAGTTAGAAGCCCAGCGCTTGCCGACAGGTAACGCGTCGCGGTCGGCGAGCAATCGGTTGGCCATTTCTTCCACACCGCTCAGTCGCGGGGGAAACCCTCGCGAATCTAGGTCAAGAATATACTCAAGAAGAGTCTGTTCCTCTAGATCAGATAGTTTACGCGAATTGGGCATAGTATCGCGTCGCGAAGTAATGCCGGCGCGTCGGCGTAGTAGAGTATGGCGAGAGACCTTATAGATCTTTGAGGCGCGGTAGGGAGTTAATTGAGGGTCTTTCTGAAGGGCTTGAAGGGCAAGATTGATATTTGCCTTATTGCTTATTGACGATATAATGCGTGGTTGAAAAAATGGAGTTAAAAGAGGGAAGAGGGCAGTTAGAAGAAAAATTGTGTACTTGCTTGTATTGTGCACTTGCTTATTATGTATGTTATAGCTTTAATTTATTTAATAATATTAAGTAAAATTATAAAAAAACTAAATATACTTTTAAGATATTAAAATAATAATAGCTTTTTATTTTTCTATATAACTATTATAATATTAATATAAAAATACTATTTTAAAAGTATAAATTTAAAATTATTATTAATATTAAAATATATAATTATTTAATTATTAAAATTAATTTAATTTTTAAATTAAATATTAATATAGTAAAAAATTAATAGAATTTTAATAAATCTTAAAATAAAAGAAATATAATTAAAAACTTTTTTTACTTAAATTATTATTATAAATTAAAATATAAATCTAATTTTCTTAATATTATATTAAATACTAATAACTTAAATAGATTTTAATATACTACTTATAACTAATATTACTAATATATTTAATTATAAAATTACTAAAGTAAAAGCTTAAAATATAAAAATTAATAAAAATATAATTTCTAATTTTAAATTTATATTTATTATTATTCTATTTTTTTAAGTAATTAATAGTTATAGAAAATTACTTAATACTACTTCTTAAAAAATATTTAAATTAAATAAATTAAATACTAAAAATAAAGAAATTAGATATAAAGTAATATTAAAATTATAATACTATTAAATATAGAGTCGGAGTAGTAAGCCAGAGCCTGTACGCACAAATACTACCAGCCCTTATAAGCACCTTACTTTAAGCGCCTTACTTCTCAAGCTCTTAACTCATTCCGAAAAGGCATTAGCGGACTCTGTAGGGGACCGGTCTCCTGTATAAAGTATCTGATCGGGTGGTTACGTGGTGACCTCCAGGGTCGAGACCGCCTATTGGGGCAGATACCTCAGGACCCCACTTTTAGTCGACAGATATACACTCAAGCGATCACAATCGGGGCAACGGGGAGAACATAGAGAATACACACACGATCAAGTTATCGGAAGTGCCACGCTAGCTTTCCAACAGTAATGGTCAATACTGGTCAATACTTCATCGCCGAAATTCACTACAGCCAATATTAAGTAAACATTACTTCTTCGTCGACCAAATATTCTAATCAATTGCTTCTGCAATATCATAGGTATTGTAGGTCGAATAGAAATAATGTCACTTTAAGGTTGTCACGAGGGTCATACAATTGATCAGACGGGCTGCCCGGAGGTGCCTGCCCGGAGGTGCCAACTTCCAGTCAGAGGTTGGTATCAACTGTGTCTCCCAAAAACAAGTTCTATAACACACAGGCCCTATTAAACTCATATATAAAAGACCAACCCTATTCAGTCCTTAGATAGAAATCAAAAGCTTCCTATAACTTCCTTTACAACCTACTAGTAAATATAACAAAGGTTTAAGACTATTTAACACCACCCCATCAGAGTTCTTCTCTAACCACGTCATATCATATTTATCGAACCATCATCGCTAAACAAAATACTTAGGCAGTGTCTGTAATAAGAACTTAATCTCCACTAGTCCTTCGGATGCTTAATAACAGATACTTTCCTTTCTTTCTCAAGTAGTACTTTCAGGCTGTTCAATAGCTCCGTCGTTAATTCAAGATACATTAGGTTCTACCAAGGATCAAAGCTTGGCTACAGATATAATATCGCACTTTATCGCACTTCACACATCTGAACTGTAGTAAACAAAGATTAATTTACTATCCAATATAAAAAGGACAAGGCGAGCCAACCGATAGCAAAAATCGATCCCAAATCTAATCGTAGCATCCGCCTGGCAGCAAACCCAACGCAAAGAGACCTAACTGTCATGTTTATTCTAAGTAAAAGCGGCTCACTGGCCACAATTTCAACGCCAGAGCCGGTCTTCCACCGTGTACGTGTATCACAACATCTTGCTCACATGTCATAAAGGCCCAACGTCCTGTGGCCACCCTTCCTGCTAGCTCGTCAACTTCTCAGAGATTTAGACGCCGACCTGCTCGAACCTTAATCCTTCTTCTTCTTGCCAAATAGCCCACCTTTCTTAGGCATGCGTGCAAGCCAGTAAAGCGCCAAGGCTCCGAATACGTTGGCAACGATATAAGCCAACAGGATGCCAAGATTGCGCCACCTTTCCGAGTAAGGTGCCCTGACACCTGCAAGGTATATATTGGTATCGTCCAAGGTGCAGAATTGGCAATTTGCTGTGGCATTTAGATCCTGGAGGTAGCCACCAGCGGTATCAATGTAAGCAGCCATGTATTCGCCACAAGTCTGACCCGCCGGTGGGTCAAAGCTCAGCAACTCGTTGTCGGCACAGACGACGTTTGTGTTCGCAACCGCAGAAGAGAGCAGACCGGAAACGAAATAGGTGAATGGTGATGCGCGATACAGGAAGATCCAGAAGCGAGGGAAGTCGTCTGGGCTGGCGAGAATACCGCAGAAGACCAGGCACAGCGTGAAAAAGAGGTTAAAGATATTCATTGCCACTTCAGCAGCCTCGAATCCGGCAATAATGAGGTCGGTAAAGGTCGAGGCGTGAAGAAGAAAGACGAGCAGATATAAGAACACCAAGGCACCTCGTTCATTTACTTGGTCCATTGGTTCCGCGTTTCTGTAAAGTCCAACAGGATAATACCAGCAAAGATACATGAAAACTGACATGAAGCTGTTCCATGGCAATTCCACAATGATTTGGCTGAGCATAAAGATTTGCCAGCTGTAAATCTTTGACGGACGCTCTCGTGCTTCATAGAGGGACCGCTGGGTCACGAAGTGGGGCATGGTTTGTTGTGCAAGCTGACTGAATATGATGAGCATGGAGAAAATAGAGAACTGCTGGTTTTGAAGACCCTGAATTGAGTTCGGTGCCTTGAAAAACGAGAAGCCGACGAAGAGGGCGACGGTTATGCACAGCGCTGCTTTCGAATAGATATAAGTGGGCGTGCGCCAATACTGCTGGAAAACCCGGAATGTAACCGCCCTCAGCTGGGTGATGTAGCTGGCAGCGAATTCGCGATAGCTGGTTGGATCCTCGGAAGTACTAGGCTGAGGATTTCGCTCATCCTTGAGACGTTTCAGTTCGTCCTGAACAGACTGATATTCCGGACTGTTTCTCCAAGCGTCGTGCCAGTCAATATCAGTGCTGGAACCTGGGGCAGCACCAATCACTTGTAGCATCCATTCTGCCGGATTGGCCTCCTGGGGGCAAGGGAAGCCACCATTTTGTTCAAAGTAAGACGTCATCTTGTCCACATCGCCAAAGTAAACGGTCTTGCCACCCTTAGCGAGGAAGAGTAAGCGGTCGAATCGTTGAAAGAGCATGGCTGAAGGCTGATGGATAGTGCACAGGATAGCCTGACCACTCTTCGTCAACTTTTCAAGGAGGTCCAGAATAGCCCATGACGTCTGTGAATCCAGACCCGATGTGGGCTCATCGACAAAAAGCAACAGAGGTGGTTTTGCCACGAGCTCAATACCAATAGTAAGACGTTTGCGCTGCTCAACATTGAGGCCCTCTCCAGGGGCACCGATAATCGCATCGGCAAACTCCTCTATGTCAAGTAGCTTGATCACCTCTTCAACATAATCAAGCTTCTCCTGTCTAAGAATGTGGTCTGGCTGGCGTAAAAGTGCACTGAAGTTGAGTGCCTCTCGGACGGTGCTGGTTTGCAGATGTAGGTCCTGTTGTTGAACGTAGCCCGTTTTGCGTTGGAAGTACGCATCGCGACTATACCCGTCCACGAACATGTCTCCGGTAATAACGCCCACAGACTTTCGATCGGCCAAAACATCCAGCAGTGTTGTTTTGCCTGCTCCCGAGACGCCCATTAGAGCAGTCAAGGTGCCAGGTTTGACCCAACCATCGACATTATCCAGAATTCGCCTAGTTTCTCCCTTGATTTGGATATCGTAGCAGACGTTGTTCCAATGGAAAACTGATTTCTGCTCCTCAATGAGACCGTTACCGTTACCGCGACTGCGGTCTATCGTAGTAACAGGACCGACGCAGATGTCTTCGGGATCGTCATTATGCTTCTCTTTGAAAACGGCAGGCTTATGGCGACGGCGGAAAACAAGCACTTCGCCCTTGGACTTCTTTTCTGAGACAAGCTCGGCAGCTACCAAGTAGGTCATCAGGAAGAAGAACATAAAAGCGACGAGGATACCAAAGTTGCGCCAGCGGTGCTCCCATTCGTAACTGAACGCTGAGCGAATGTATGCATCGCCGTTGACAATGTCCAGACCCGCCACGGACCCAACGGCACTGCATACGCGGTTGCTGCTGCTAACATTCGCATACCCCTCAACCGCGGGATCCGGGACGAAATTGGTGCAACGGAAGTTACGGCCGTGAAACTCATTTGACATTAGAGCTTCGAAAGCGTACGCCAGTGGGTTGATGTAGTTGATCCATTGAGACCAACCCAGCATATAGTCGATTGGGATGACGAACCCTGTGAACATGATCAATGCCAAGATCAGGATGGCTGCGGGAACCATAGCGCCCGCCAAGGATCGAGACAATGATGCAATAGTACGGAAGATCATGGACATGTTGAGAACAGTAAAGAATGAGACGAGGAGAAAGAAGAAGAATGCTCCTGGTTCTCGGTTCAAATTCGGGATGAAGTATAGGACCAAGTTGAAGATGATTGCGTTGAGGATCTTGTTTGGTAAATCGCAGGCCATGGAAGCGAAGGCTTCAGCAGAGGGGTGGTAAAGGGCATATCTCGCGTGTTTCTCGACAATCGGGCGTTGCGCGTAGAGGGTGTTAATCTAACAAGTTATTAGCATGGCATCACCTTGGCCAAGATTTGATTGATATACCTCGAGGACGCTTGAGAAACCATTCAAAAGCATAGCAAAGAAAAGGAGAGATCCGCGTTGAAAGAAGCTGTCTGTCGTTTCTTGAAGGTTGTAAAACACACTGGAGACAATGAGTCCCATTATGATGTTTCCAAAAAGCGAGCTGAGCGTAATGCTCGGATCGCCGACAAGACGCTTCCATCCACGCCACATGGTGAGATCGATCTGCTGCATGTAGGATAGAGTGTAGGGGGACTTCGCTCTCTGACCCCTAGCCTGCTGTGCCTTTTTGGACGCTCGGAAAGCCTCGGCATCAGCGCCGCCCAGGGGATGGGTCTGTTTGTATTCCTCAATCTCGTCTTGCAGGGCACGGTAGTGGGCACTGGTTTTCCAAGCGTAAGCAAATTCATCGGAGGTTCGAGGGGCCCGGTCCTCCCAGCCCTTGCGTACGATTCGTTCCTGCGGGCTAGTCATGGACGTAAGGAAGTCCGGTGTGGTAGCCCGTAGAGGAAACTCGAAACCGAGGTCGATGAAATACTGTCGAGCGGTCGTCGTTGCGCCAAAAAATATCTGTCGGCCCTCATAAAGAACAAGCACCTTATCAAATAGATCGTATGCACTTTGCGGCGCCTGGTAGATGGACACACAAGCACTGTTGTTGAACATATCTGCTTGAAGGCGTAGGGTCCGACAGAACTCGGTGGCGTTGGCCGAGTCCAGTCCTCGCGTACTGTTATCCCAGCATTGCAACGGGGCACCGGACAGGGCAGCCTCGGCGATGGTCACCCGTTTTCGTTCGCCTCCCGAGACACCGCGGATGAAGTCGTTGCCGACACGAGTATCAACAGTATGGGAGATGCCAAACATAGCCATGACAACGTCACGTAAATGGTTGGCGAAGGTGTCTGGCTGTACGCCTTCGGGCAGGGTTCGCGGCCGACGCGCGCGGGAAGCGAAGGTTAGGGTATCGCCGACGGACAGCATGGGAAAATGTACATCAACCTCTGCGGTATAGATAGCCTCTCCACGGTGATGTGAATGCATCTCTTTGGGCGTGATTCCTATAACACACGTTAACATTGACTCGTCGATAGCTCGCCACGTGGTACCATGGCGGCGCCGCGATACTGGAAGCATGGAAGTGCCAGACGTACCTTGGTAATTGAGGTAGGATGCATCATCCACCCAAATGCCATTCATTTCGCCGGCGATGGTCTTGAGGAAGGTAGAACAACCGGAGCCCGGGGGTCCGAGGACGACGAGCATCTCGCCCTTTCGCACAAGACCATCAAAATTTCGCAGAATGTCGATACGCGTCTTCCCTTGGCCAGTCGGTTTGGTAAGAAGGTTGGCGGCGCTCAGCCAGATATTGAAAACGTCTTTTTGATAGTCGGTAGACCGACCGTAGCCGTATACGTTCAGATTCTGGAAAGCGACACCAGTAGTCCGAAACGTGCCACCACTGCGGGAGACGAGGTTAACTAAGGCCTTAGCCCAGGCACGGCCAGAGAATTTGGGTGAATTGGGGTTAAGAGCCGAATCCCCAGAGGCCGAGAAGGGATTGCGGTCAACACCAGTCGTATTCGAGTAACTGCGCGCCAGGGACTGGACTATCGAGGTTCGGCGTTCCATTTCTTCGGCTGGGTCGTCAATGCCGTCGCTATCTCCCGAGGCGACCAGCGTGTCCCTGTCTTTCTCATCGCCCGCGTCTCTGGAAACACCGGTCATGGATGTAGCAGCGGCGTCTCCATCTTGCCTGGCGATGACAGGAGTATCCTCGTTACCCTGACTGGCCATGGCGCCAGGCATGAGGGCGCTCATGATGCCGTCGGTTCCTCCTGCCTTTCTCTTTTGTGTTTGACTTGTCGGAGCGGTGATGTTGCAGGGGATAAGTCGGGAGGCACAGATTATCGCAATCTCATGGGAATGACAAGGGAAATAAGCGACTGTCTAGAGTTAGGACCAGGATGTCTATGCAGCTAAAATTATGAGGTGAGAGCTTAAAGATCAACAGGAAATCTAAAATGCCTTCTAGTGAGTAAGTTAAAGGACATGAAAGCCACGTATTTAAGAGGATGTACAAATATATATCAGTCAAAGGATGCGAGCCAGGCGTCTGTTCCGAGTGTTCGTGAAGGCCCGCACTGTGTGTCGGACATTGCGGGCGCTTCACAACTCCGACAGCCTAGCCGACAGGAATATATGCGCAATCCTTCTTACAGATCAACTCCGCAATGGCACAGCTGATTACGTCTTGCGCCAAGTACCAGCATACCAAGTACACTATGTTATGATGACTTGGCTGATGCTTAAATCCGCTTACGTGCGGGTTGTCGCAGTAGTGGCAGTCTGACAACTCCGACAAGCTAAGACCAGACGAGTTTTAGTTGGGAAGCCCTTGTTGCGGAGTATGGGATCGGATTGCTGCGGGAATTTCTCCTTATCAATTGAACTGGCGGAGTTTACCATCCTCATCGATCGGCAGGCAGTGTCTAATAACACGCAACATGTTAGTGTGTTATGCTGTGAGTATTTTGATTACGAAGGGTTTTTTAGAGGCGGAGTATGTGAAAACTAAGTTCAATATTGTGGAAACACTTCTCCCGACATGTCATCACATACATCACAACGGCATCAACTACGCCGCCATCAACGCCTTGCCAATGGATTTCTTTACTGACGGTTTCCTCGCTCGAGCCCACAGAGCAGCCGGCCCCTCAACGCAAGCATCCGACGGGTCCAGACACAAGCCGAGGTGGAAGCCAGTATCCCAGAGTTGATGTTCTCCATCCCAGTGGACCCTTAGATCTGCCCAAAAGGATTTGGAGTGAAAGGAGAGAATTCTAGAGTAGACAGCCTACGTTACCGGCTCTTAAACCGGTTCATCCGTCTTCCTTCAGCATACCATTATAGAATAACATGTCGGTGAGTTCGGAAGTACTGCACATACTGTCCAAGCCTGACTACACGACATGTAATGGTGGTTGTCCGGCTAGTTTCTCAACAGGTTAGCACTTTCAGGGATAATAAAACCTTCTGAACATCTACGTCCCGGACGGGGTAATTATCAGGCCGCCGAAGCCACCCACATTTAGGCGACTCGGGATTTTCTTGGCTGAATTACTCTTCCTTTGGTCGTTTCATATGCGACCGTTCTTGCGTCTCATCTCCGCTCTCAAAGCCGCTCGTTCTGTGAGCTTCAGAGGGTTCACCGTAGTAACCAGGAAGTTGAGTCTCGGTGGGTTACCGATATCTTGATAGAAACTCTGTGGTTCATGTGTTAGCACAGGAAAACAGAGGCGGGTCAAATCGCAGGATTTCATTCAGCACGGGATGGGTTCGGTATCGAATTGCTCCGTCCCCGTCTGCCTTCCGGTACCGCCCGGGACAGTCCCAAATCCCCCCTTACGGCGACCCAGCCCCGCGTCACGCAAGCGGTGCCCGGCATCGGTAACGGCGGCGGAAGCGGAAACGGGAGGACAGGGGTAAGAGAGGTGTAGGGGCCAGGCCAGCGCCGCCTTGGGGGTGCGGGGAGCCGGACCCACTTAGGGACATGCGAAACTATCTCAGTTAGATTCACGTTATGACTAATCCTGCTGCAGCAGCCAAATAGAGTTTTCCCCATCAGGTAAACTTTACATGCATTGGACCTGGGTTTGCCCCGGGGTGGGGCAGCCGTTGGGGGTGGTGCAACCTTCTAGCCGGCTCATGCGGCTGTTTATGTCACAATGCC